TCCAGAATGAAGTATGATTATTTGATATTCTTGAATAACTAACATTCTTGAGTTCACATTTTTTTAAAAAAATTAAAGCAACTCTTTAATGGGGGTGGAAAAACACAGCTTCTTTTAGAAACATTATAAACTTATCTAAATTGCCTTTCCAAAGCTCTGAGGTGGAACTTGGATCCTGTTGGGCAGGCTTTTTTTGTGGGCGTACTAGTTCGCATTCCACCTGTCAGTGTACCTATAGGTAAAGACGTTAGACCACACCCTCTGTTCTGACCTCTTCCTCAGGGGACACTGACTAGAATCCTTTGGCTCAGCTCGAGAGGCTGTTTGAATAGCGCAGTTCAGAAGAGCTTTTCCTTTTGAATTGAGCGAAGCAGCAAGAACCAGGGAAATAATGTTGCAACTACATTTCTCAGAACTGCTGCTATGGAGATTTAAAACTTGACCTTCCCTGCTATGTTCTGTTTGGAAGGCTTACTTATTACTACAGACATATTTGATACGGAAAGGAGTTTTATTGCTCAGCTAATTGGATATTATATTTTCATTCTTTAGGGATTTAATTATTCTGATTTACAGAATTTTATTTGTTAGCTTACTTTTGTTTGTCTTGTTTTTGGTTTTTGTCTTACTTTTGGTTTTCTGGATGAAGACAGCTGAGACCCTTTTTTGTAAATTTGTAGATTTTTTTTTTCCTGGACTTCACCACCCCTTTTTTTTAGTTCTATGAATTAATGTTATGAAGTTTTTGATAGTGCTAAAAAGACATTTTCATACTGCTATTATATCTCTTGGTAAACTAAAAAGAGCTTGTCAGTGTAGTGGGAAGCTGGTCACGCAGATGAGGAAGTGTGGCATCCACGTCCACCAGGATGGATTCTTACAGGACCTATTTGGCAACACTCAAACTCAGTGACTCTTGGTTGGAAGAACAAGATGAAGACATTTATGAGGTTGAATCTCGTGTGCCTTTACCGTATCCTTTTCCTCTTTGTGAACATTTGGATGAAAACAACTCAGTAATTATTAATACTTCTATTTTTCATTTTATTCATAAAAGAAATGGGCACATATTAAAGCTTATTTCTAAAATCTCACTGCCTACCCCTCCTTATTCAGTAAGTATAAAAAATATTCATTTGAAGCCTATATAATGAAAAATGAAATTTTAAGAGTATTTAATAAGAGTAAATGGAATAGAATCTTGTTTCGTTGTTTGATGTGTCTGCTCATTCATCCTGGATATATTACAGGGCTAAATTTGGTCTAAGAACCCCGACTTGGCTACGTTTTTAATTACAGAAAGCAGGAGATACTATTACATTTTTCCAGTGCCAGGCAAGCTGTTTAAAAAGATCCTGCTTGTCCTTAGGGCTCCTGCTTTTGTACGCATATGATGCCAGTCCTCAGTAACAATGGAATGATGACGTTTGAGAGACAGGCATTGTGATTCCTAAAACAGCTGAGTAGATTGTCAGTGAGCCAGTTAGGAAATGTTTACAGTCTTATTGCATATTGGCTGTGGTTCTAGGAAACTGTAGAAAATAGGAAACTCAAATTCTAAACATTCTTAACACCCAAAGGAACTTATCTTTGGTTTTTAATATGCTTGTTACTCCAATGGACAACTACATTTTTCTGCTTTTTATGTGAAAGGTATTTCATAAACATTGTTAAGGGAAATATTTATCATATAGTGGCCTGTATATTTAACACCTGAGGTTCATTTGATACTTAAACATGTTTTAAATGATTCACTGCAAGTGACTCGGCACCTTTATGACTTGTGGGTTTACCTGTACTGTACCAGCTAATATTTAACAAGCCAGATGGTTTTCAGGATAGTTTTATTTCCTCTCTTGCAACGTTCATATTAAAGTGAAAAAATATTTACTGATGCTTTAAACATACTTTTAATGTAATACTAAGTTTCCTAAATACTTTGAAAGGATTTTGAAATTTTTGTGGATTTTATATTAGTGTGGAAATGAGGAATAATCATATCCTAACTGGATGGAATATGCTTTTTAAGTATAAAATATTTAGATGAACATTTGAAGGAGCTCTCAAACTAAAGTCAGATCCTGGCTGCTATAATAAATGAAATTTGTTTGCTAAATTTACTGGAATTGGTTGATTCAACTTGTATTGTTTTATAAAACCAAATTAGTTCTTGTGATTTTATGGTAAATATTTAAATGTACTATAACACTGATTTGGTTTGTCAAGAAGTAGAACTCAGAAGCAGTGACTTACTTACTTACCTAAAGCAACTATTATGAATGCTTTGATGTATTTCTATAGTAAATTTGAAAAAGGAAAAAATTTATATCCTTTTTAGCTACAAGTTTGAACTCTTAGAGATTTCATGGTTGCACCAGGTAACCATTATGTACTGTGTGAAGAAAAATGATGTATGTATTTCTAGAGCAGTTAATAGAATTTCAGAATATAGTTTGTAGTTTTAAATTCAGGAGAGTAGTTGTAACAAATTATTCCACACTTTATGGTCATGTTTCTTTATAATAAAAATTAATTTATATTAGTTATCCACATTAGCAGAAAAATGTTCATTTGCCAGTTAAAAGTAAAGATGTCTATAAAGTTTTGTTTTTTTTTTTTTTTTTTTTGACAGGCAGAGTGGACAGTGAGAGAGAGAGAGACAGAGAGAAAGGTCTTCCTTTTGCCGTTGGTTCACCCTCCAATGGCCGCCGCGGCCGGCGCGCTGCGGCCGGCGCACCGCGCTGATCCGATGGCAGGAGCCAGGAGCCAGGTGCTTTTCCTGGTCTCCCATGGGGTGCAGGGCCCAAGCACCTGGGCCATCCTCCACTGCACTCCCTGGCCACAGCAGAGGGCTGGCCTGGAAGAGGGGCAACCGGGACAGAATCCGGCGCCCCGACCGGGACTAGAACCCCGTGTGCCGGCGCCGCTAGGTGGAGGATTAGCCTAGTGAGCCGCGGCACCGGCCTAAAGTTTTATGCTTTTTGAAGTAATAACATATTGCAGATACTTTAGAAAGTAATCTGTAGTTCAAAATTTATGTTTTATTTTCCATTATGAGCCTTGTACGTGTTTTCACCTTATTTTCAAGTATGTGATATTTAAAACATCCTATTAAAACAATAAGTGCATACTGGATATTTTGGAATTGATTTAGAGTGACCATATAAAGCTTTATTAACTGGAAAATCCATTTGCTCTGGTAAATATCATTCAGGTTTGAAGAGGGGAACCTGTAGTTTAAAAATACAGTATTCAGAATATTACCATAATTTTATAAAATGTTACTGATGTCTGACTATAAATTATGAACTAACATATTTGATCATATTTTAAGCTTAAAACATGGCAGTAATGATACAAAATACATATAAATTTGAAAATTTTACAGCATTAATATATAATAACAGTAATTTAATACATATGGTCATTACATTTTAAAATTTTTATATTAAGTACTAGAAATATTTGAACCTGATTTTTCCTCCATGTAGTTCGTTTGTTCCTTTTTTGTTTTTGTTTTTTGACAGGCAGAGTTAGACAGTGAGAGAGAGAGAAAGGTCTTCCTTTTTCTGTTGGTTCACCCCCCCAAATGGCCGCCATGGCCGGCGCTATGCCAATCCGAAGCCAGGAGCCAGGTGCTTCCTGCTGGTCTCCCATGCGGGTGTAGGGCCCAAGCACTTGGGCCATCCTCCACTGCTTTCCCGGGCCACAGCAGAGAGCTGGACTGAAAGAGGAGCAACTGGGACAGAACTGGCGCCCCAACCGGGACTAGAACCCGGGGTGCCGGCGCCACAGGTGGAGGATTAGCCTAGTGAGCCGTGGTGCCGGCCTCGTTCGTTCTTTTTTAAAGATTTGTTTATTTGAGAGGTAGCATTCTAAACAGAGAGAGAGAGAGAGACGGAGAAAGGTCTTACATCTGTCCCTAAATGGCTGCAATAGGTGGAGCTGAGCTGATCAGAAGGCAGGATTGAGGAGCTTCTTCCAGGTCTTCCATGTGGGTGCAGGGGCCCAAGCACTTGGGCCGTCTTCCACTGCTTTCCCAGGCCTAGCAGAGAGCTGGATTAAAAGAGGAACAACCAAGATGCAAACTGGCACCCATATGGGATGCTGGCACCCCAGGCAGAGGCTTAGCCTACCACACGCACAGCGTGGGCCCCCATGTGGTTCTTTCCATAGAAACAGATAAGCAGGTAGTGATAGGCAGAAGTCCAGAAAACTAAAGCAGAGACTGGGTTTTTTTTTTTTTTTTGCGGGTTTGTACAGCAGATTTAGTGACAGTGTTCCACTAATTGGGAGTGTTGTCGTTGAATCTGTACTGCCATCCTTAAAATTTGTTGAAGAAATAGTATGTGTCAGCCCCTGCATTTTAAGAAGGCTGTGTTTATGGTTAATGCCTGTGAATTCTAATGTTTTAAAAATTATCTGAGTATTCATGGAGACTTTAGATGTTTCACAAATGGACCAAAATATAAAGCTTTTGGTTAAAATGCATGGGTTACAAATGTAATTTCATTTTGTTGCACCACTGTGATTTTGCTAATTGATACTATTGTACGAGTATTAACCATGTATTATTAGTCCCCTACAAAATGTACACCAGATATTGTAGGGGTCGAGTCAATAAATGTTAAATATAAAAGAAGAAATAAAGTTTGTCATAGACCACACTGCTACAGAAAGCTGTTTAGCAGACGGAATAAGGGCCTGTGCTTCATTAACTTTGTACTTCCCTTTATGTGATGGAATAAACATCCATTGGCTTAAATTGGTTGCTTTCCTAACGAAGCAAATTCTTTTGTTCAATAAAATTAGACTGTTTTATGGGAAGTTGTACCCAGCTAATATACCTGTCTACTGTGGCTTGTCCTGCCTGCTGATGTTAGCATGCACTAGAAATACTTGAGACTATAATTCATAGTGTACCTTTATTTAAAATTTTTTTTCTAGCATCAGTGAGGAATAGCACTGGCATTCTCAACACCTTTTCTTCCTTTGTTTAGCTTGAACATGCAAAAATTACCCAGACAGAGCTGATGCGTGAATCATTCAGACAGAAACAGGAAGCAACAGAGTCCCTTAAGTGCCAAGAAGAACTGCGAGAACGGCTTCATGAGGAGGCCCGGGCCAGAGAACAGCTGGCCGTGGAGCTCAGCAAGGCCGAGGGTGAGCACCTTGCCCACAGCTGAGGGCAGGAAGTTTGTGCTTCAAACCAAGATTCTGATAATGCACAGCGAGGCTTGGAAACCACCAGTTGAGTCTGATTTAGAGCACCCATTGAGTAGTAGTTGTGGTTTGTCTTCAGAGTTCCTCCAAGCAGTGTTTTAAAACATGTATGAGCTTAATTATGAGAAGAATTTATAGAATTCCAGAAAATATTATAAATTTTGAAAAATATAGAAGTGATTGATGGTGAATTCTTTTAATGTCCCCATCCTGGGACTACACTTGTAATTTAAAGAAAACTGAAGCTAAAAGATGTTATTAAACCACTTAAGATCTCTGTTAAATGGGGACTCTAGGCCTTAAGCTTCTAAAGCCCCAGGACCTATTGTCCTTCTTTCCTATCCTCCTTCCCTCCTTTCCTCCCTCCTTTTTATTTATTTTTTTTTAAGATTTATTTATTTATTTATTTGAAAGAGTTACACAGAGAAGGAGAGGCAGAGAAAAAGAGGTCTTCCATCCCCAGTTGGCCACAACGGCCTGAGCTGTGCCGATCCAAAGCCAGGAGCTTCCTCCGGGTCTCCAGTGTGGGTGCAGGGGTCCAAGCACTTGGGCCATCTTCCACTGCTTTCCCAGGCTATAGCAGAGAACTGGATCGGAAGAGGAGCAGCCGGTACTCTAACCAGTGCCAGCAGTGCAGGCGGTGGCTTTACCCACTGCACCACAGTGCCGGCCCTATCCCCTTACCTTTCTTCCTTCCTTCCTTTCTTTTCTTTCTTATGTATTTATTTACTTGAAAAGCAGAGTTACAGAGAAGGAATGAGAGGCAGAGAGGGAGATCTTCCATCTACTGGTTCACTCCCCAAATGGCCACAACATTGTTGCTTCTGTAGGATGCCAGCATTGCAGGCAGTGGCTCAGCTGGCTGTCTACAACCCCACCACCACCACCACCACCATCAATCTTTGTACTCTCCCATGCTGTTTTAGGTTTTGGTCTTTCAGAAGCACTTAAAATATACTACTCTCGTATATTTAAAATGTGATTCAGTTCACAAGCATCTAATTTGTACTAAGCTTCCCAAAGACCTATTTATATCTATTTAGTAAAGTGAGTTACACCACGTGATGTGATACTGCAGTAGAGCAAAGTACTAGAAAGTACGGAGGAATTTCACATTTGCACAATGATAAATGAGAGAAAACTGTATGGAGCAAACCATGTTAAGGTTAGTTACTGAGAGCAGCAGCAGATTCATTCACAACTTAACAGATGGAATGATTTAAAATTTTGCTAACAGTACACCTGTTATTTATATTAAAACTTAATGATAAAATTTGAGATGAGTAATAATTCCATTCCCTGTTAATTTTATCTTATAGGTGTCATCGATGGCTATGCAGACGAAAAGACAATATTCGAGAAGCAAATTCAGGAAAAAACCGATATAATAGACCGTCTTGAGCAGGAGCTGCTGTGTGCAGGTAGTAGACTGCAAGAGCTAGAAGCAGAGCGACAGCAGATTCAGGATGAGAGGGAATTACTGTCCAGACAGAAGGAGGCCATGAAAGCAGACGCCGGCCCAGTTGAACAGCGTATGTATTTTTGTACTTCGTACGAAACATCCCTTTTAAATTTATATTCTTCAAACGTTGAAGCTGATTCCCCTGCCCCTTTCAGTGCCATCATTCACATATTTAAGGAACTTGAAAATTGTAAGGAAACCTGCCTCAGAGGTAAATGTCTTAGTAACCAATCATGTGGAATCAGGATTTTTTTTTTCTTTATATTAGCACAAAAAGATGTTATTCTTTTGTCCTCAAACTCCTGCCTCAAGAGAAAGCTGAAAATAATGAGGCATGATATTTTTCAAGTTGCCTAAGGTTTGGTTTGTTTAATAGCAGAGAGGCAGCAAAATGTATGGTTGGAGGTTAACCAACAAAGAGAACTCGTCTGGCGGCACGGCGAGCAGGTGGTGGCAAACAGAATAGATGCGAAAGGTCGATGGTTGCTACAGGGGGATTGACATTGAGTTTAAGCAGGGGCACCATGAAGTTAAAGTTTTCTTGGCAGTAACTGTCAGTCTTTGTAATGGTGGAGCTTTAAATCCTGCTTATCTCGTCCTCTCACTGTTACATTACACATGCATTTGGATTATAAATGTATTTCCATAATTTCATTTTGTGGATTTAGAAATACAGCATACATTCTATAAAAGGATGAAGTTCTTTCTGGTTGGAATTTAGGTTTAGGATTATAATTTTTAACCTGGAAATTCTTCAGAAATTTTTAAACTGGATGTAACAACTGTCAGATGTGATAGCATCTTTCGCTTCTAATACTTGTGTGTATGTGTGCATTATCCTATTTCAGGAACTAGAAGACCTATGAAGTGTATTTTTGTCTTTTTTTGTTTGTTTTTTCTGTTCTCGTAGGACTAGTAGATGCTGCAGTCGATGCAGCACCTGGATCAGGTGTGTGTACAGTCGCATGGCCAGTCTTTGCGTGGTAGACTTTACTACTTCAACATTTGGGTGACCCTTGCGTTTTCAGCCAACTAACATATCTAACTTCACAGTTTTGCTATTGTGTTTTATACTTAGAGCTTTTATTTTCCTTTAACAACAATTAAAAATAAATTTTTTCTACATTAAAAATACATTTTTTAAATTAACAACTGAGATAGTGACCATCATCTTATTATATTTATTTTTCCAGAAAGCCTAAAACCATTTTTATTTAAGGGAATATTGAGCTTTTTTAGAAATTTTTTTTCCTTAACAGATATCTTAAACTTTTCCATTCTCTAACTTTTCAGTATGCTCCTTCTAAATCAGAACGTAAATAAGATGATGGTAGCTGAATGATTAATGAAATTTATTAAAAAACTTTCTAGTTGATTAACTTTTACATTAACATCGAATATCAGTATGTTTTATATAAAATATGTAACTGTCTTTTATAAAGTATAAGTATATTTGGATATTTATACATTAAAGATATTTTAAAAGGAAAGCTTATTTCGGGGCCGGCGCCATGGCTCACTTGGTTAATTCTCCGCCTGCGGCGCCAGCATCCCATATGGGCACCAGGTTCTCGTCCTGGTTGCTCCTCTTCTAGTCCGGCTCTCTGCTGTGGCCCGGGAGGGCAGGGGAGGATGGCCCAAGTGCTTGGCTCCTGCACCTGCATGGGAGATCAGGAGGAAGCACCTGGCTCCTGGCTTCGGACCGGCACAGCGCTGGCCGTGGCAGCCATTTGGGGAGTGAACCAATGGAAGGAAGACCTTTCTCTCTGTCTCTCTCTCACTGTCTATAACCCTACCTGTCAAAAAAAAAAAAAAACTTATTTCAGTAGATTTCTAATCCTGAGTACCGTGTTGGCACTCCAATTAGTATAAAAAAATTCTGAGATATATTCTCTCCATTGTCTTTATTAGAAGATAGTTTTACTGTATTTATTATTGTATTAGTGACAATAATAAAAGCTAACACATAGTGCTTACTGTACTCCCAGCACTGTTCTTTACATATATTAACTCTTTTGATCCCAGTATAACTCTTAGGAGATTGGTAATAAAATTGTCCTCAATTTACGTATAAGGCAACTGAAGGGCATCACACCAGGAGATAAGTGACAGGGCTGGGATGTGACCCCCCAGTCTGCTCTTTGGCACCACACCACAGTCCTCTCATGCATGTCCACACACAAGAGCAGCTCAGGACTGTGCATCTCATAAGGAGCATGACTAACAGAAAGTTCCGATTAGAGTTGTGTTTCTTTTTCTGTGACTCCTAACTTGCCTTGGCTAAAGATTTACAGTGTTTAATCCTCATATGTAATCGTATGCATATATGGGTTTGGAATGAATTGAGCTTTTGCCTGAGGTGAAGAAAATGGTATGTTTTTTCTGGGCTTGAATTTAATCAGAATTTATTCATTTCCTAAAAGTGGGTTTGTTTTTTCATTCACTTTGTTGTTTAAACAAAAATACTATTTTTAGTGACAAAGCATATTTTTGTTAATTTCACAGAATTTTATTGATACTAACTTATTTATATAGAGATATGGTAAGATATTTTAATATTTTCATAAGAAAATATTTCTCATAATTTAAAATAATTCTGTTTAATATTCCATAAAGGTAAATTTCCAACACAATTATGGGAAACATCATTAATTGTGGCTTAACTTAGTTTATTTTTGCATTTATAAACAGAGTTTCTACAAGAGACAGAAAAATTAATGAAGGAAAAACTAGAAGTACAGTGTCAAGCTGAAAAAGTACGTGATGACCTTCAGAAACAAGTGAAAGCTCTAGAAATAGATGTTGAGGAACAAGTCTGTAGGTTTATAGAGCTGGAACAAGAAAAAAATGCTGAACTAATGGATTTAAGACAACAAAACCAAGCCCTGGAAAAACAGTTAGAAAAAATGAGAAAATTTTTAGATGTAAGTATTCTCAACTTAATGATTTGCTTAGTGGATTACTTCTTGTCGCTATTCTTGGCTCTGAATTTTAAATTATGAAGAGATTCTCTAATCATTTTTACCTCTGTGTGAATTCTACCAGTTAGTCAAAAGTACTATTCCAATTAAAAATTCCAATAATTTTTGTTGTACAGCAATCAGAATTGAAAGCAGCGTAGGCGATTATGAATGAGCCCCTACCAGTCAGCCTTTCAAAATTCAGAGTTAAGCTTGTTCTAGTCTTTCTTTAACCAGTAGTCAAAGCAGCTGTGGATTCTGGTAGCCAGCTGGCCACCTCTGCTTCACCCTCAAAAATTACGTATAAGTCAGCGTCTGAGGCTTGGAACAGGTGACTGGAACAATTGTCAGACTGCCATTACTGTCTTCCAAAATGATGTTAAATATAATTTCACATGTATTGTCTTCTTTGGGATTTTCTTTTAAGCCTAATATTGTCTTCACAGATCAAAGTATTGAATTCTTACATATTTTGTAATTTTAGATATAAAACCTGGATTAGAATTAAAGAAATTGATTTACCAATTTGATATACTTATTTTGTTTAGAAACTAAATTAATAATGGAGTTCCTCCTTTGTTCCAAAAAAGTGAATTCATTTTAAGGAGAATATTTTTTATGCTGTATTTACCATTACCTACATAAAAAAGAAATGTACTTCAACTAATTTTTAAATACTTAGATTTTTGTTGAGGAGCCCAAATAGGCTATGGACCATACAAAAACATGTCACCTTGTTACACAGTGGTGGTTTGGAGTAGTCAATAGTCATCACTCCTTTGTTCTCAAACAAAACTATCTATAGCTAATGGGAAATAATAGCTTCAATAAGCATTGCATCTGCAGTTACTGACTGTTACTACTATTAAACTTCAGGAGCAGGCCATTGATAGAGAACATGAGAGAGATGTATTCCAACAGGAGATACAAAAGCTAGAACAGCAACTTAAGCTTGTTCCTCGATTCCAGCCAATCAGTGAACATCAAACTAGAGAGGTAAGGGTTCTTAGTGTTGTTGTCTACCTTAGAGTAATTTGAATCTTGAGTATAAACATGAATATTGATGAAAACTTAAAAGTGAATTCTTTGTATTAACATGTAAATCTTCAAAATGGAAAATTAAATATTACCTAAACATGATTAACTGTAGAAATTTGGAAAAATTCTCATATATGTATATCTTTTACTCTTTCTCAATTAAGTTAACTTCCCTGCTGATTTCTCTATGCCCTTTCTCAATAAAATTGGTCAAAAGAGTTAGCTATACTTACTCTTTATTTTTACTCCATATCCCATTCTCTTCTCAGTCCACTCCAGTGGAGTTTCCAATCCCTATACTCCATTTATTTATTTATTTAGATAAAGAGAGGCAGGCAGACAGGGCTCTCATTTGTGGATTTACTCCCAAAATGCCCTCAATGGGCAGGATTGCAGCGGGACCAAAGCTGGGAGCTGGGCACGTAGTTCAGATCTCCCACTTGGGTATTGCATTAGCGGGAAGCTGGAGTCAGAAGCTGGAGCCAGGGGTTGAACTCTGGTATTCCAGTGTGTGATGCAGACATCTTAACTGCTCTACTCCACACTGTTCTTGTTTGGGTAGGCATTGTGGCACAGTGGTTAAGATACCATGTCATATATCAGAGTGCTGATTAGAGTCCCAGCTATTCTCCTTCCAATCCAGTGTCCTGCTAGTGCATCTTGACAGCCAGTGGATGATGGCTCAAGTGCTTGGGTCCCTACCACCCATGTGGAAGACCCAGATGGGTTTCTAGGCTCTTGGCTTTGGCGTAGCCCAGCCTAGATGGTGCAGGCTTTTGGAGAGTAAGCCAGTGGATAGAAGACCTCTCTGGTTGTCTGTAGCTCTGCCTTTCATGTATATGAAAATAAATAAGAAAAAAAAAAAAGGAAAGAAGCATTAAGCTGTTTTTGTGATGTTCATCCAGAGCCCACTGGCTGTCTGCAATAATCATTTCTCTGTCTTCACCCTGTGTAGCAATTCAGAGGCATTCGTCAGCCTTCTCCTGGGAACAGATCCTTCTCTTGACTTTTGTGACATACCCGTTCCACTGATCTCTCTCCTTGAGTCTTTGTGTCTCCTCCACCTACCCAAATAAATGTTAGAGTGCATGTCCCCAAGACTAGTCTTAAGCCCCTTTTTTCCTCTCTCTTTACGTTCTGTGCAGGTAGTCAGGGGTGTATAATGATTCCGTACTTGTACTTCCATCCCTGACATCTCTGCTGAGCTCTGAACTTGAATATTCAACTCCCTGCTCTGTCTCACTTAGATGTCTCAAGTTTAACATGTCTAATAGAGATTTTTATTCCTGATTAACCGCTACCAAAGAAAGACAATGATAAAACATGTTTCTTCTTCATCGCAGTGTATTTTATGCCTTCTGCAACTTCCTCAGTGCTAAGCCCTAGAATTCATCCTTGGTTCCACTCTTTTTCTCAGTCCCTGCTTCTGGCCCATTGTTGAGTTAGGATTTTTACTACGTCTTTATCTTTTCATCTGCATTCAGCTCCCTAAACCCTAGTTGTCATAACTGTTTGCCTGAATGATGTGATGGCCTCCTAGTTGTTCTCCCTGTGGGGAGCAATCCGGACTGGACTGAGTTACTGGAATTAAGACTTGTTCTGTGCATCTGCTCTCCCACAATATGGCGCTGGGAGAGAAGTAAACAGCTTCCGCACAGCTGCCTCCAGTTCAACCAATAAACTGTAGGACTTGCTCCTGATTGGAGAGCAGCGTACTCGGCGTGTGGGCAGCCGAGTTGGGATTGGCGGAGGAGGACTATAAAGGAGGAGAGAGACGGCATGCACCGGGGGAACATCTATGGGGAACATCTAGCTGAAGGAACACCTGTGCAGCCCCCGAGAAGAGCCAGCCGGCGGTGTGCCGCTCCCCTGCGGAAGTGGGGAATGCGGCCAGGGGGAACTGCCCTTCCACGGAGGTGGAAGGGATAGTAGCCAACCCGGGAAGAACCAGCAGCAAACCCGGGGAGGGCCGAGCAGACAAAAGAACAGCGCAGGGTCCTGTGTTGCTCCTCCACGAAGAGGGGGAGCGACACTCCCTGCTTCTGTCTTTTTTATTCCAGCTGTCCATTTTCCTTACATGGAAACATAGTCAGAATTCCATATTTACTAAGTGTATGCTACATGACTGAGGGAAGATTTACTGTATACTTGCCTAAAATTGACTTGTCCTGGTGATGAAGAGATTGTGCTTGGGCTGAGGCAATCCCATCTTGGATCATGGCACTCTCTTCCAGTAGGGGTATGGCAGTGCCTAAGTCATTGAGGCTCTCATGTCTCTATCTGTTCATCTAAAAGAGAAATTGTAATAGCACCTACCTCAAGAGTATTGGCCTGGCACCTAGCGATCACTGAAATTTAACTAGTATTCTGAAAGTGATTTTTATTTCCATAAATCATTAATAAGACATAATTTCCATGCAGTTTACTGGGTTTCATCTCTCTCTCCCTTTTTTTTTTTTTTTTTTTTTTTTTTTTTTGACAGGCAGAGTTAGAGAAAGGGGGGAGGGGTTCATCATAGTGGATGAGACACCGCTTGGGATACCTGACTCCCATGTTGCCGTGCCTGAGTTCAAGCCCAAGCTCTGCTGCCAGTTCCATCTTGCTGCTAATGCACACCCTGGGTGGCAGCAGATGTTGGTTCAAGTAGTTGATACCTACCACCCATGTGGAAGACCAGGATTGATTTCCCAGTTCCTGGCTTCAGTCCAGCTCAAGGTGTTGTGGTCATTTGGAGAGTGAACCAGCACATGGAAGATATCTCTCTCGCTCGCTCTCACTCTCAATCCCTTTTTCTCCCTCTGTCTTTCTAAAATAAATCAATATTTAATAAAAAGATACTTAAAAAGTATACAAATCTGTAAATTCATTGCAATAAAATGTTACCCTATCTACTAGAACAGAAGGAAAGTTGTCAGTCTCCATAGTCTACAGTATTTCTCTTCTTCCTCACTGCTAGGCCAAACAGCCACCCGAGATCATCCTGAATAACAAGCATAGGCTTTTTTTAAAGATTTTACTTAAAGATTTTATTTATTTGAGAAGTAGACTTATAGACAGTGAGAGAGGGAGACAGAAAGTTCTTCATCTCCTGGTTCACTCCCCAAATGGCCGCAATGGCCAGAGGTGGGCCGATCAGAAGCCAGGAGCCTGGGCATACTTCCCGGTCTCCCATGCGGGTGCCGGGGCCCAAGAAGTTGGGCCGTCTTCTACTGCTTTCCCAGGCCATAGCAGAGAGCTGGATTGGAAGAGGAGCAGCTGGGACTCGAACCAATGCCCATATGGGATGCTTTCACTGCAGGCAGAGGATTAACCTTTGTGCCACAGTTCCAGCCCCAAGGATAGACTTTGGAAAAATTTTGTCATTTGCTTATTGAAACTTGAAAGAATATTTCAGCTCAAAAAATTAAACTGCCGTTTACTATTACATAGTTTTCTTACATTTGAAAAGATTGATTTGCTTCATTCATGAAGCTTTTAGAAACCAGCAAGGATGTGCATGTTTGATTTTTCTCCTAGAACATTGTGGTCCCTTTGTTTTGTCCTTGCCTTGCCAGAACTGATTCCCAGTTTCTGGTTTTCTTTTTCTTTTTTTTTTTTAATTAATTATTTATTCATTTGAAAGTCAGAGTTACAGAGAGAGGAGAGGCAGAGAGAGAGGTCTTCCATCAGATGGTTCACTCCCCAATTGGCAGCAACGGCCAGAGCTGTGCCAATCCAAAGCCAGGAGCCAGGAGCTTCTTCCAGGTCTCCCATGTAGGTGCAGGGACCCAAGGACTTGGGCCATCTTCTACTGTTTTCCCGGGCCATAGCAGAGAGCTGGATTGGAAGTGGAGCAGCCGGGACGGGAACTGGTGCCCATATGGGATGCGGGTGCTTCAGGCCAGGGTGTTAACCCACTGTGCCACAGCGCTACCCCCCAATTTCTGGTTTTCTAACTAACTATATGTTGTGCCATTTTATTGTGCCTACTTTGTTGCCTTTTCTCTTGGCCTTCCTTCTGTGATTCCTCCTGTAATTCTAGTTAAGCTTGCATCTTTCTCAGTGTTCTGAGACATAATTATCATTTCTTGAGTTTCCTCAAAGTATTTCAGTGAAATAAGGTAGAATTCCTTTATTTCTTATATGCTAAATACTTTTATAGTAGCTTTCTTTTTTTACAAAAAATTTTTTAGGAGCTGGTGTTGTGGCCTAACAGGTAAAGCCACCGCCTGCAATGCCGGACTCCCATGTGGGCGCCAGTTTGAGTCCCAGCTGCTCTACTTCTGATCTAGCTCCCTGCTAATGCTCGTGGGAAAGTAGCTAAAGATGGCCCAAGCACTTGGGGCCCTGCACTCACGTGGGAGACCCAGAAGAGGCTCCTTGCTCCTGGCTTCTGATCCATCCAGCTCCAGCCATTGTAGCCATTTGGGGAATAAACCAGCAGGTGGAAGATCTCAATCTCTCTCTCTCTGTAACTCTGCCATTCAAGTAAAATATTTTTCAAAATTTATTTATATTATGCGCAGACAGAGACAGGGGGACCAACAGACGAACCTAGGTACTTGAGCCCTGATCTACCTCCCAGAGTATGTGTACCAGCAGGAAGCTGGAATTGGAAGTAGAGCCAAGACTTGAGCCTGGGTGCTCCAAAATAGCATACCAGTGTTCCAAGTGGAGTTCAGTCACCTTGCCAAGCACCCACCCCTTATACTAACTATCCTCATTTGATCAAAATTAATTTTATAAGTCATCTTCATAATCCTTCCTGTATTCTTCTATCACAGAGCCACTCACTTGCAGATATCTGCATATCAATCTCAGAGATTCACCTTGGGGCATTTCTTTTATTTGAGGTAAAGGAGAAACCAAGACTAGAGACACTTAGGAGAGCTTTCATGGTACACAGATTCCCCTCACCAACCTGCATCCTCATCTTTAATCTGGGCTGGTGGAATGTATAGGTTGAAAAAGCGTTCAGGGGGCCGGCACCATGGCTCACTTGGTTAATCCTCCACCTGCAGTGCCGGCATCCCATATGGGTGCTGGGTTCTAGTCCTGGTTGCTCCTCTTCCAATCCAGCTCTCTGCTGTGGCCCGGGAAGGCAGTGGAGGATGGCCCAAGTGCTTGGGCCCTGCACCCACATGGGAGACCAGGAGGAAGCACCTGGCTCCTGGCTTCGGATCGGCGTAGCACCAGCCGTGGCAGCCATTTGAGGGGTGAACCAAAGGAAAAGGAAGACCTTTCTCTCTCTCTCTCTCTCTCTCTCTCTCTCTCTCTCTCTCACTGTCTGTAACTCTACCTGTCAAATAAATGAGAAAAAAGAAAAAGAAAGAAAAAGCTTTCCAAATGGCTGTTATCAAAATATAGTCCATGAAAGATGTTTTTAGGTCATCTTATCTTATGTAAGAGTAAGTTAATACTCTGCAAACTTTGTTGTCTTCTTTATTATGTCTTAATGTGATCATGCCATTAGATAATTCAGTGTTATTCAAGATGCAGTTCTTGGAGCTGGCATTGTGGCATGGCAGGTTAAGCTGTCACTTGCAACACTGAGTGTCAATTTAAGTCCCAGCTGCTCTGCTTCCAATCCAGCTTCCTGCTTATGTGCCTAGGAAGGCAGAGGAAGATGGCCTAGGTGCCTAAGCTCCTGCTGCCCACATGGGAGACCCACATAGTTCCAGGCTCCTGGCTTTGGCCTGGCCCAGCCCAGGCTATTGCAACCAGCAGATGGAAGATATCTCTCTCTCTCTCCCTCTATTTCTCTCCATCCCCCCTACCCTGTGTGTATCTCCTTCTCTCTCTTTTTTTTTTTTAATGTTTCCATTTTATTGCCTCCTTCTCTTTTTTAAACTCTGCCTTTCAAATAAGTAAATAAGTCTTTTTTAAAAAATGAAATTATTTTACCCTAGCTAGAAAAAGTCTTAGTCTTCAAAAAAAGAACTTTTGGGGCCGGTGCTGTGGCATAGCTGGTAAAGCCACAGCCTGCAGTGCCGACATCCCATATGGGCGCCAGTTCAAGTCCTGGCTGCTCTACTTCCTATCCACTCTCTGCTTATGGCCTGGGAAGGCAGTGGAAGATGGCCCAAGTCCTTGGGCCCCTGCACCCATGTGGGAGACCTGGAGGAAGCTCCTGGCACCTGGCTTCAGATCGGCACAGCTCCAGCCGTTGCAGCCAACTGGGGGAGTGAACCAGTGGATGAAAGACACCTCTCTCTCTGCCTTTCCTCTCTGTGTAACTCTGACTTTCAAGTAAATAAATAAATCTTAAAAAAAAAAAAAAATCAGTCATAGGGGATATTTAGGAAAAAGGAAAAGAACTTTTAAAAAGCTTTGAATAATATTAATATTATTTTTTTCTTTTACTAGTGCTGCTTAGTTTTTGATCAACTCAGAAAATGTCACCTCTGTCGGACATACTTAAAAGGGTATTCAAAAAGTTTATGGGAAATGGATATTATAAAAAATTCTGTATGTATTTTAAAATCCTTCATATCAAAATAAACTCACCTCTTAATCCTATTTTTTGAAAAAATTTTTTAAAGATTTATTTGAAAGAGTTAAAGGGGAAGTCAGAGATCTTCTATCCACTGGCTTACTCTTAATCCACATACCTCACCCATTACACTGCGCTTGCCCTCCAAAACTTTTAAAGTACCTCCTTTTTGCTATCCTTAGTAAAAAATAAAATTAGAGTAGTTTTTGAAATACTTTTGAAAAAATATTTTATGAAATAAAAACAGGTAACTATATTTAATAACACTGAATTTTTTAAATTACTTTTTTGCATATTATGTTTTCAGGTTGAACAATTAACAAATCATCTGAAGGAAAAAACAGACAAGTGCAGTGAACTTTTGCTGTCTAAAGAGCAGCTACAGAGGGACGTACAGGAACGGAATGAAGAAATTGAGAAACTAGAGTGCAGAGTAAGGGAACTGGAGCAAGCCTTGCTTGTCAGTGCAGACACTTTCCAAAAGGTGTGGCATTTTGTTTGGGTTAATTTTATCAAATGTTCTAATAACAACTACTCTTCATCACACAGATACCAGTTTTTTAAAATAAAAGCTTGCTGTTGACGTCTTTATATAATGCACATGTCTGTGTCTTTGTTCACATCATAACTGTTTGTTCTTATTTTCAAATGTTGCATGCATACTACAGGTCTTCAGGAAGAAATATTAAAACAGAAGAATTAATTATCCCTTAACCATCAATAATAGCTAAGCTAAAAGGATACTCGTTTAGATTAATGGTCTGCCCCGAAGTAAGAATTAATTAAATCTATCTCCATAGTCTACAAAAAGCAAAAATGAATTAAAGAAGAGCAAGATAAGGAAGTTTGGGATAGGGACTAAAAGTCTGAGCCTTCATTTCATCTGAGAAATAAATTTTAAGTATCAGAAATTCTTGCTCCAATTTATGAAACTTTTGATTCTTCACTGTTATAAATTTTCTAAATGGGGAAATAGAATTAGTACTTCTGGAAAAATGTAATAATCAGGATTTACTATTTGCAACTTAATGTCTGAAAATTCTTATGTGTTTGAAGGTGGAGGACCGAAAACAGTTTGGAGCTGTAGAACCTAAAGCAGAGTTGTCCTTAGAAGTACAATTGCAGGCTGAGCGAGATGCCATAGACAGAAAGGAGAAAGAGGTAAGGAATTTAAGTGACAAAACGTGGTTCAAATTCTTTTAAGTCTGTTACTTTGAGAATATAATTTAAATAGATTGGAGTTTATGGCCTAAAACAGAAGTTGAGATTGTTTCTCTGCTTCATGTCTGAGTGGACCAAGAAGACAGTAAACACATGCACAGACAAGCTGAAATGTGGAGCGATGTTTCCACTAGGGAACTGAGCTGCCTGGAAGCAGAAAGCAATTTAGAGGAACAAAATGTGTGTGTGTGTGTGTGTGTGTGTGTACTTCAAGCTATTGTTTTATTCTGGATGATTTCAGTGCTGTTTTAAAATATAAAAAACACCTTCTTTAAATAATTGTTAATGTTCTCTTATGTTTCTCTACTCCTTCCCTTCCATTAAAAAAAATCCAGTATTTTAGAACAGCAGCTTTCTAGTTACATTATAACTTGTTTAAAGCCTTTCTCTACTAGTAGTTTTCCTAAAACTTACCATACTCTACTTTGTGTAGCTATATCATAGCAGTTTAAATGTTTAAAATTTTATCTTTGTCTCTTTCCATATAATTTTCTCAGGACCTTTAATGTGTTTTAACACATTTTTTTTAAAGATTTATTTATTTATTTGACAGAGAGGCAGAGGCAGAGAGAGCAGTCTTCCATCCATTGGTTTACTCCCCAGATGGTCACAACGGCCGGAGCTGGGCTGATCCGAAGCCAGGAGCCTAGAGCTTCTTCCAGGATTCCCATGCAGGTGCAGGGGCCCAAGTACTTGAGCCATCTTCTGCTTTCCCAGGCCATAACAGAAAGCTGGATTAGAAGTGGAGCAGCTGGAACTTGAACTGGTGCCCATTTGGGATGCCAGCACTGTAGGCAGCAGCTTTACCCACTATGCCAGAGCGCTGGCCCCTTTAACAAATATTTATTGGACTGAAACGGTATAGAAGTATTAATAAGTACTTTGGAGAATACAAGAATAATTAATGTATCAGATAAAGGTATAGCTCAAAACTTTTAATTTAGAGAGAAGAAAACGGCATTGATGCAAATGACTGCAATTGAACTGATCATTTCCATGAGAAGGATTTTCTCACTTTCAGTAATACTGACTGACATGTATCTGAGAGACTTTTTTATTTTGTTTTGAGGTTTCTCTATTGGAGACAAGGAGCACTTTTGTTTATATATAGCCACTTCTGTGTGTTTGAAAGGAATTGGCATTTAAATATTACCTTGCACTAAATTATCTGCTCAAAATGATGGACCTTCAGAACTGGACTGCAAAGCAGTAACAGTTGATTATGGCTAGTTGGTTAAGCTTACTAATATACCTGTATTATCTTTAGAATATATACCACTACTATCTTAACTTCATGAGCTAAGTTTCTAATAGCTGTCTGCCTTTTACTTAGAATTGTAATCATTTAGAGCTACAAGAAACCATAGAGAGCATCTATCAACTTACTCTCGGTTTTTACAACAAGGAGACAGGACCAGAGATGTTGCGTGAGTAAGGGGTTAATCTGAGAGCTCGTCCCTCAGTACTAGCTTTTAATAACTATAACAGGTACTCTGTCAGAATGCATTCAGTTACTTGTGACTAGAGATGGAGCATGAGATGCAGGAATGTAGAATTAAAATATGTCTTGTCATGAAAATAACTTGTAAGCACTTGTTCTTTCCTGAAAAACAGGAAATGTTCTCTGATATCTGCTGCAGTATAAACATAAGGCGTCCACATGAGTCATTATATTTGTGATACTCTCAAGATCTAGTTGTATAAAATCTCTTTTTAAAGTTTGACTCTTTAAAATGCATAATAAATAGGCCGCGGCTCACTAGGCTAATCCTCCTCCTGCGGCGCTGGTACAACGGGTTCTAGTCCCAGTTGGGGTGCTGGATTCTGTCCTGGTTGCCCCTTTTCGAGTCCAGCCCTCTTCTGTGGCCCAGGAGTGCAGTGGAGGGTGGCCCAAGTGCTTGGGCCCTGCATCTGCATGGGAGACCAGGAGGAAGCACCTGACTCCTGGTTTTGGATCGGCACAGCGTGCCAGCCATGGCAGCCATTTGGGGGGTGAACCAACGGAAAAGGAAGACCTTTCTCTCTCTCTCTCTCTCTCTCTCTCTCTCTAACTCTGCCTGTCCAAAAAAAAAAAAAATCATAATAAATAGAGAAGAAAACTTTAAAAGATTTTCAGGCTTATAGGAGAAGAGGAGTAATGTGGATAGAAATAGGATTTCTTTTAGAAAAAAGATGCCTTCGGTAGGCTTTAGCTCTCTAGAGAGATGATGAGGTCTAGCCTCCAGCAAGCAGTAATAAATGATTAATGATGATGGAGGGCTGTGGGCCAGAAAACGCTGAGTATTTTTTTTTTTTTTTTTACAGGCAGAATTAGATAGTGAGATAGAGAGAAAGATCTTCCTTTTTCCGTTGGTTCACCCCACAAGTGGCCACTTCGGCCAGTGCCTGCCGATCCGAAGCCAGGAGCCAGGCGCCTCCTCCCGGTCTCCCATGCGGGTGCAAGGCCCAAGGGCTTGGGCCATCCTCCACGGCCTTCCCGGGCCTCAGCAGAGAGCTGGACTGGAAGAGGAGCAATCCGGACAGAACCGGTGCCCCGACCAGGACTAGAACCCGGGTGGGGTGCCAGCGCCGCAGGCAGAGGATTAGCCTAGTGAGCCGCGGTGCTGGCCGGAAAGTGCTGAGTGTTTTAAGTACCTCATACCATCAGTCTTTTACAGTCTCCAGGACAGGCTGATTTATCTCCATTTTACAGATGAGTAAGCTTAAGTAACTTGCTGAAGTGACCATGTACACAAGTGGTTAAGCAGGGATTCCTCCCAGATCTTATGATTCTGGAATCCTTGTGATGCATATTGGGACATGTTTTACCTTGTTAATGAGAAATATTAAAGGCTGTCTTTCTGGACCTGTGCTGTAGCACAGCAGGTTAAGCCACCATCTGCAGCGCATGCAACCCATATGGGTGCTAGTTTGAGTCCCAGCTGCCCCACTTCCGAACCAGATCTCTTCTAATGTGCCTAGGAAAGCAGCAGAGATTGGACCGGGTCCTTAGTCCCCTGTACCTACATAGGAGACCTGGATGAAGCTCCTGGCTCCTGGCTTTGGTCTGGCCCAGCCTGTTGCAGCCATCTGGGGAGTAAACCAACAGATGGGAGACTTCTTTCTCTCTGCCTCTGCACTCCCTCTCTGTAACTTTGCCTGTCAAATAAATAAGTGAATCTTTTAGAAAAAAAAATGTCCCTAAACATGTACTGAGCTCTTACTACACTTGGAGCACCACTGTCCAGTTGAAAAACCAGCACTGGACTTTAAGAATCTACATATATTCTGGGAATCTACATGTATTCCAAAGAGATTTTTTAAAAAATACTTAAAAGAAAAACATGTAGGTATAAATTAATGTAATCCAACCAGACTACATGTCAGTTGTTAGATAAATAAGATTAAAACAAATTTAAACATTAATGTTGTTCTTCTGGTTTGGAGGTTGTTGTAGGCTCAGTAATAAGGTATCTTGTCCTAGAGTCTGGCTTAGTAAGGGGGAAAGAATGGCCTGTAGTATCGTTCTGGGGATTGCAGTCTCTAATGTGATGCCTCAAGTTCAGTTAACTTACAAAGTCGGTGATTGAGACCAGAACTTCTCAAACTTTAGTATGCCTGTGAATCATGTGAAGATCTTGTAAAAATGCAGGCCTGGGGTGCAGCATGAAATGCTGTGCCTTTTTCTTTTAATGATGCCACCCTGCTGCTCCAGAGACACCCTTTGGAGCAGCAAGGCTTTAAGTCAAGAGCAAAAGTGAGGGGCCAGCGCTGTGCTTCAGTGGGTTAAAGCCCCAGCCTAAAGCGCTGGCATCCCTTATGGGTACAAGTTTGAGTTCCTGCTGCTCCATTTCCAATCCTTCTCTCTGCTATGGTCTGGGAAAGCAGTAGAAGATGGCCCAGGTGCTTGGGCTCCTGACCCACGTGGGAGACCTGGAAGAAGTTCTTGGCTCCTAGCTTCAGATCAGCTCAGCTCTGGCCGTTGCAGTCTTCTTGGGGAGTGAACCAATAGATCGAAGACTGATCTTTCTCTCTCTCTAGCTCTACCTCTCTCTGTAACTCTGTCTTTCAAATAAATAAATCTTAAAAAAAAAAAAAAAAAAAAGTGACCATAAACTGTTGCGTGAAAAAAGGAAGCAAATGTCATGTGAGGTAGGGCAGCAGTTTTGAATTTCAGTAACTGTGTGTTAAAATAACACCTGTCATCAAAAGTAGCTGAAGGATAGGTGGCAAGTAAATACTATTATATTAGATAACTTTGAAGAAGACATAATCATAACAATTTTTAGTAGACTAAGCTAATAATTATATATGCACACTTACTAAGTAGGTACTTAAGTGCCTACTAAATTTGGTACTGGTGTAACAGAAGAAATTTTATATGTAAATCTGAGACATTACTTATTAGAAGCAGGATAAATGATAGTGTAGGATGGAAGACTCCAGAGATAAGCTCCCCAGGTTCAGAAGCTGGCTTCCCCACGCACTAGCTGTGTGACCTCAGGGCAAGCTACTCCTCTTTGTGACTTCCTTCCTCATCTCTGAAATGGAGCTAAATCATAGAACAGATCTTAGAATACTGTTACACAATTTAAAAAATAACAGTACTACATGTAAAACACTTTGTGCCATGCCTAGCCATAAATTGTCTATAAATGATGACTATTGTTGTTAATATTGGCAGTATTTCTGCTCAAGAAAGAGCAGGCTGATTTTTTAAAGTCTTGTTTTGCCAGTGTTGTGATTCTAATGATATGGTGTGTCTGTGTGGTGTGTGATCAGCCCAGGCGCCCTTTCAGCTTCTAAGGCACTAAATGATTTACAGGCTGTTTTCTGAGCCAGATGCTCCTCCTGCATCAAAATCTTATTTTAACACAACCATTTTGATGATCGAGTAAATATACATTTGGAAAACCATGCATTAAATATTTATTAAGGAGCTACAAAGCAATGAACTAAATGACTATTACACTTCACAACCAAAACTAATTTTTAAATATAACAATAATTAGCTTTTAATATTTGTCATTAGTTTCAGTTCCTATGTAACCATCAAAGAGCAGTTCTCTTACCGTTACTGACAGTCCTCAGAAATTAACTAAATTTCTATGGTTCTTCCTATAGGAGCTCTCTAATTTTCTTCTAAAATGATACTACTGTTAGCTTACTGTAAGGTTTCTGTAATTCAGACTTAAGGATCTCTTGATCTTGGTGTCTACTTCTGCCTAGGCAAATGGTGTAGTAACCAAATCTTATAGTGGGTTAATTAGATATTTGTGGACTAAATTAAGCAGATCTTACTTGGTAAGTAAGATCAATCACTGACTTGATTTTTAGCTGTTTTGGAGCCTTTGGCAACTAAATTTAGAGTCAACTGAAGGACAGTGCTTCCCCCTGCGGCTCTCTCCGGCTTCATCAGAGTATTTTAGAAAGGAAATGGCAGGTGTCCTTCCTCTGCAGGTCTCCCCTTCCCTGGAGCAAGATGGTTCAGGAACGTTACAGCTGGAGCCGGCCTAGAAAAGCCATGTTTCTTTACTCTGATGATGCAGGGTTTCTGCATACGTGCTTATTTATACAGCTGACACAGCACCTCATTCTACCCTAACAAATAAGCATTTATGTAAATAATTTCTTCTTTTGGTAATTTTGATTTCAAAGATCACAAACTTAGAAGAACAATTAGAGCAGTTTAGAGAAGAACTGGAAAATAAGAATGAGGAAGTCCAGCAGCTACATATGCAACTAGAGATACAGAAAAAGGAGTCCACTACTCGCCTGCAAGAACTTGAACAAGAAAACAAATTATTTAAGGTAATGAATTGAGAAAAACTTTGCTCTGTAAATAATCCATAGTTTTGGTCTTACATCATTTTAATCAACATTCACTGAATTGAGCTATCAGATAATACTAACAGGAATATTAGCAGGCAGTGAATTTGCATAAAACCTATTTTTCAGCTCAACCTATATAGTTGAATTCACCATAAATGAAAAATGTTGAGATTTTTTTATCAAAATAGCTTAGGAATTATTAACGTGCTAAAACCATACAGCTCTAATGTTTTCATTTGTATAGTATAGTTATACTATGTCTTTTGTAAGAGTTAATTGACAGCCGGCGCCGCGGCTCACTAGGCTAATCCTCTGCCTTGCGGCGCCGGCACACCGGGTTCTAGTCCCGGTCAGGGCGCCGGATTCTGTCCCGGTTGCCCCTCTTCCAGGCCAGCTCTCTGCTGTGACCAGGGAGTGCAGTGAAGGATGGCCCAAGTACTTGGGCCCTGCACCCCATGGGAGACCAGGATAAGTACCTGGCTCAGGCCTTCGGATCAGTGCGGTGCGCCGGCCACAGCGCGCCAGCCACGGTGGCCATTGGAGGGTGAACCAATGGCAAAAGGAAGACCTTTCTCTCTGTCTCTCTCTCTCACTGTCCACTCTGCCTGTCAAAAAAAAATTAATTAATTAAAAAAAAAAGTTAATTGAAAGAATGGTCTGGAAGTGACTTGTAATGCTACAATCAAATGTGATGTTTATTTTTGTCCCTAGGATGAAATGGAGAAACTGGGATTTGCGATAAAGGAATCTGATGCTGTATCTCCTCAGGACCAACAGGTGCTGTTTGGAAAATTTGCTCAAATAATACATGAAAAAGAGGTAGAAATTGACCGATTAAATGAGCAAATTATAAAACTTCAACAGCAACTTAAAATTACAACAGATAACAAGGTATACTCATTTAAAGTTGTCTAATATCTGAAATTGAATTAAGCTAGAATTTTAAACATCAAAATAGTTACAGTTTTTAGTTTCCACTAAATTTAAAAAACAAATCTTTATTCTGTTTTAGTGTATTAAGACACATTGGCTTAAGCTGTATGTGTTTTTGTCCTCTCCGAATCTTGTCAAAGGGTTTTAATAGGAGACTCTGTGACTTAGATTTCATCAAATCATCCTAAATGTATTAAAAATTCATCTATTTAATATGAGTTAAGGGTGATTACCTTTGGGTGCCATCTTTTGCAGACTTTATTTCAGTATTTGTTCATTTTCAGTTAGAATGTTTTGATACTGACTAGTTTCCTAACAGCAAGTCAGCTCCTAAAAGTGAAAATTACTTTAAGTTTAACAGAACTTCCTAGATAGTTCTAGGTCTTTATTTGATCTGATGAGGGAAATGTTGGTCTATATTGTTATTAAGGTAACATGTTATGTCTGGGAAGGATACTGATTTTTGTTTTGTGCATGATCATCTCTTTAAAGTTCTGCTCTAAAATAAAATAAAATTCCTAAAATATAAATATGTATTTATTATGTATGTTGCATTTTTTCATTAACTAATAGGTCATTGAAGAAAAAAATGAACTGATAAGGGATCTTGAAGCCCAGATAGAATGTTTGATGAGTGATCAAGAACGTGTGAGGAAAAATAGAGAAGAAGAAATAGAGCAGCTCAATGAAGTGATTGAAAAACTTCAACAGGAATTGGCAAATATTGACCAGAAGACCTCCGTGGACCCCAGTTCCCTATCAGAGGAAGCAGACAGCTTGAAGCATCAGTTGGATAAGGTGATCGCAGAAAAGCTGGCCTTGGAGCATCAAGTCGAAACCACCAATGAAGAAATGGCTGTCACGAAAAATGTACTTAAAGAAACCAATTTTAAAATGAATCAGCTAACCCAAGAATTATGCAGCTTAAAGAGAGAACGTGAAAAGATGGAGAGAATCCAGAGTGTACCAGAGAAAAGTGTTAACATGAGTGTGGGTGATCTGAGCAAAGACAAACCTGAGATGGACCTAATCCCTACTGAGGATGCTTTAGCACAGCTGGAAACTCAGACTCAGCTCAGATCTTCAGAAGAAAGCAGCAAAGTTTCCTTGAGTAGTTTGGAAACAAAGTTGCTTCAGCTGGAGAGCACTGTTAGCACAAAGGACTTGGAACTTACCCAGTGTTATAAGCAAATACAGGACATGCGAGAGCAAGGCCGATCTGAAACAGAGATGCTGCAAACGAAGATTGTAAGCCTGCAGAAAGTACTTGAGGAGAAGGTGGCTGCTGCCCTTGTGAGTCAGGTTCAGCTGGAGGCAGTTCAGGAGTATGTGAAGCTCTGTGCAGATAAACCAGCAGTTTCATCAGACCCCGCAAGGACAGAGGTACCCGGTTTAAGTCAACTGGCAGGAAACACGATGGAGTCCGATGTATCCGCACTAACCTGGAGAATCTCAGAGTTAGAAAGCCAGCTGGTGGAAATGCATTCTAGTTTGATTTCAGAGAAAGAGCAAGTAGAAATCGCAGAGAAAAATGCTTTGGAAAAAGAAAAGAAACTGCAAGAGCTGCAGAAGCTTGTGCAGGACAGTGAGACAAAGCAGAGAGAGAGAGAGAGGCAAAGCAGGCTTCACGGAGATCTTGGCGTTCTCGAGGTTTGTTCTCCATTTGAATTCTCACTTAAATACCCTAAGAAACTCTTGCTTTGTTCCTTGAACTGATTGCAAGTTGCTAAATATGGTGTTCTGTTTACAACTAGCAATTTTTATATGAAGAGGTTTTATAAAAATATTATTATACTGTTCTTAGGAGAAAAACTTCAGGCAAACTGAATTTAACAAAAATTTAGCATATTTGAGCAAAAAATGATTCATGAGTCGGATGGAACTAAACCAACAAAGGTTCAGGAAGCTCTACTCTGCAACAGTAGAAGTATTTATTTATAGACAGAAGTCTCAAAGCTCAGAAATGGCATATAGGTTACAGCTAGATGTTTGCCTTATTTGGACATGGTCTGATCAGTTGGTTGCCTGTGATTGGCTGGAGCCTGGCTGTTGATGATTGGCACAGACTTGCTTGGTGGTTCTATTCCTGAGTTAGGTTCTCAGTTTATTTAGAGTACTATAAGTTAGGTTGTAGTTCTCTACACAGAAACTCAAGGTACAGAGACAGCTGCAGGCTGACCTTTATTTAGCACTGTGCTGTCATATTATTATCACTGGAACAATGGATACAAACTATGTTTTGTGGGTTTAAAACATGACATTTATTCTATCAGCTTGTTCATTAAATACAACAGTCAGAAGAAACATTAAGTTTATTAACACATTCCCTGGGACTTGTATGGGTTTTTTTCCCCTTGATTTCCCTGTAATATGCATATTATGTCATCATCCCTCTTAAGTAATGAAAAAATAGCAAAATATGTTACTGTTCACCTTAATTAATATGTGATAAGTCATTATGTTCTATAAATTTTACATCTGCTAATGGATGTCATTCTTTCTTAGAGATGCCCCTGCCAGCTATAACTCGTAATCCCTGCAAGTCTACTTATGTCAAGTTCAGAAATCATACTTAATTCTTAGCATGTAACAGATAGGACAAAGACTTCTTTTCCTTCATATTGTCACCTCATAATTTTATCATTTTGAACGGTTAGAAATGCAGTTTTATCCAAATACCAAATTAACTAGTATATCAGGATTCTATAATTACATAATTTATTTTGTAAAAATGTGATTCTATTTAGTAGATTTTTTTTCCTTCTAGTTCATTGGAACTATATATTACTGTAAGTAAATACATAAATATTAGAACACTGTGATTTTTCACATATAACTTCTAAGAAATAGTTATACTTAGTTATGTCTTTTGAGAAAAGTGATATAAATTTGAAACTCTTGAATAGTAACAATATTTTCATTACTTTATAAATTTTTAGAGTATATACTAATGATATTATTTACCTTGCATTACAAAAAGGTCATTTTTTTTCTTGGAGTCTCAAGAACGTAAAGTGATGACCCTGGAAAAGTTTCCCTGTTGCTTGAAAGAGCATTGATCATTTCAACTCTAGTCTGGCAGTTATTTCTGGAAAACCTTCATTAGAATGTGTTATTGCAGGGCCAGTTCTGTGGCACAGCAGGCTAAGCCCTGACCTGCGGCACTGGCATCCCATATGAGCACTGGTTCAAGTCCCGGCTGCTCCACTTCCGATCCAGCTCCCTGCTAATGTGCCCAGGAAAGCAGCAGAAGATGGCACAAATTCCTGGGTCCCTGCACCCACGTGGGAGACCCAGAAGAAGCTTCTGGCACCTGCTTTGGCCTGGCCTAGCTCCGATTGTTGTAGCCATTTTGGGGAGTGAACCAGCAGATGGAAGAGCTCTCTTTCTCTGTATCTCTGCCTTTCAAATAAATAAATAAATCTTTAAAAAAATGAATATGTAATTGCCTTGCACTTGGCTTTATATCACTCTCAATTTTTTATTTGAGAGGCAGAGAGAACTCCCATCCATTTCACGCCCCAGTTGCCTGCAAAACCTCAAGAACGAAAGGTGGCCAGAAATTCAGTCCAGGTCTCCCATAAGGGTGGCCAGGACCCACTTACTTGAGCCACCATCTAATGCCTCCCAGACTCAGCATTAGCAAGAAGGGACCCAGGAGCTGGAGGGGTATTGAGTTCAGGCACTCAGATGTGGATTGCAGGTCCTTTAACTGACATCTTAACTGCTAGGCTAAATATCTGCCGCATTTACGCATTTTTAAGTGATGTGTTTCTTGTTTTCCCACTGTCACTCAGTCAACTACAAGTGAAGAAAGTGGAGTTTTTGGAGAACTTGAGGCTCTTAGAGCTGAGTCAGCAGCTACCAAAGAAGAACTTGCCAATTACAAAGAATTGGCAGAAAAACTTCAAGAAGAGCTTTTGGTAAGATGTTTAACATAGCTTCTAACTCATTTATTCAACCTAGCTTTTTTTTTTTTTTTTTTTTTTTTTTTTTTTAAAGATTATTTATTTGAGAGGTAGCGTTAACAAACAGAAAGAGGGAAAGACAGAATGAAAAGTCTTCCATCTTCTAGTTCACTCTCCAAATGGCCACAATAGCTGGAGCTGAGCAGATCCGAAGCCAAGAGCTTCTTCCAGGTCTCCCTCACAGTTGCAGGGGCCCAAGCACTTGAGCCATCCTCCACTGCCTTCCCAGGCTTTTAGCAGAGAGCTGGATTGGAAGTGGAGCAGCCAGGACTCAAACCGGTGCCCACATGGGATGCTGGCGCCACAGGCGGAGGCTTAGCCCACTACACCACAGTGCTGGCCCCTCGACCGATCTTAATTTCATTTTGTAATGTTAACTCTGTGGGGTGGGCCTTTGCATATAAGGTGCTGATGAAGACACCTGCATTCGATGTCAGAGCACCTGGGTTCCACACGTGCCTCTGGCTCCCGACCCCAGTTTCCTGATAATGCAGACCCTGGGAGGCAGCAGCGATGGCTCACGTAATTGCATTCCTGCCATCCATGTGGGAGACCTGGACTGATTCCCATTTCCTGGCATCAGCCCTAATCAGAGGCCATTGTGGATATCTGGGGAGTGAACCAGCAGATGAGAGATCTCTCTCTCTCTGATTCTCTGCCTCTAAATTAAAAAAAAAAAAAGTAATATCACCTATAAAATAAGCCCATACTTATAACTTAAAAACTAGGGGAAAAAGAAAAAAAAGAGAGCAACAACAAAAAAAACTAAGGTTAAAAAAAAGTATTTTGTGGACTTGATGAAAAAGTCCCATTGTTAAAATTTCTTTGCAAGCATCTCCTTGATTGGATTTCCTGGGAGTCTTTGTTAGGAGGATGCTTTGGCTCTCCAGTGTGTTAGTGAAGAAACACAGGTGTTAGAAGAACCATATATCCCATGAGAACCATAGGTAGAGAGCGTGATAAAATGATTTCACTTCTACAGTATTCTGGGCTATATATATGGAGAGAGAGTGGAATGTTCCTCTTGTTACTCGGAGGGAAATGCGCACATTGGCATGAATTTCACTCTTTCTCCACTCTGCCACCCCCAAGTTTATAGCTGATGTGGAAACTTCAACTGAGTGCTCGCCTGTCCTGTTCTTTCTGTCGTAGGTGAAAGAAACAAATATGGCATCTCTTCAAAAAGAGTTAAGCCACGTTAGGGATCAGCTCACCGAGGCAGAAGACAAATTATCCCACTTCTCAGAAAAAGAAGACAAGACTGAGGTACAAGAACACGGGACGATCTGCATCCTAGAGCCATGTCCTGGCCAAATAGGTGAAAGCTTTGCCTCCCAGACAGAAGGGGCTGTCCAAGTGAACAGCCACACCCAGACTCCACAGATTCCTGTTAGAAGTGTGGGAATCCAAACCCATTCACAGAGTGACAGTTCTCCCGAAGAAGTCGCTGAAATAATCAGTCGGTTTACTGAAAAAATTGAGCAGATGCGAGAGCTACATGCTGCTGAAATTTTGGATATGGAGTCCAGACATATTTCAGAAACAGAAACTTTGAAGAGGGAACACTGCATTGCTGTTCAGTTACTGACAGAGGAGTGTGCGTCCTTGAAGTCACTGATACAGGGTCTGAGAATGCCAGAGGTATTTGATTTTCATGATATGTAGTTTTTAACAGTCTATGATATTTTTCAAACTTCTGTGTTTTTAAGAGAAATTTAAACAAAAAGTAACCATATGATACTATTATGATTTAAAATTTTTCCATTATGTTGAGTTAGATAATGAAGTTCCTGTGTGGATTTGGACCCTCTTTTTTTTTTTTGGTATTTTCTTTTTGATGCAAATTTGGATATTTACCTGCATACTGAACTTCCCAGGGGAAAGGTCCAGCTCTGCCTATGATTCCAGCTAGTTACAAAGACAGGGAGAGAGAGAGAGAAAGAGAGAGGTCTTCCATGTACTGGTTCACTCCCCAGATGGCCACAATGGCCAGAGCTGAGCCAATGTGAAGCCAGGAGCCAGGAGCAACTTTGGGTCTCCCACATGAGTGCAGGGGCCCAAGGACTTGGGCCATCCTTCGCTGCTTTCCCAGGCCATCAGCAGAGAGCTGGATCGGAAGTGGAGCAGCTGGCACTCCAGTGCCCATGTGGGATGTCAGTGCCACAGGCAAATGCTTAACCTGCCACACCACAGGGCCGGCCCCTGGACCCTCTCTTCATCAGTGTTTCTTCTTATGGCAATATCCACAAAGACGAGAATTCTAGATTTGTTACAGCCAATGAAGAGTTGCATTTATTATGAAAAGTATGACAAATTTGATTTATTTTTCCTTTTATGCCATTAGAAAACAGCAAAACAATTCATTGAGTACTATTCATATTAAGGCAAAAGAAAATAATGGTTTTTTTTTTTATTTCTCTGTTTAATTAGGGTTCCTCAGTTCCTGAATTAACACATTCTAATGCTTACCAAACTAGAGAAGTGGGTTCCAGTGGTAAGTGATACAGAATGTTGATAATGTTTGTTTAAAAAGTGTTGGGTTTCTTGAGGGGCGGTTTTATTTACTTATTTTTAATAGCAAAGTTGTTTTCTTTGTTTTAGATTCTGGATCAGACTGGGGTCAGGGCATTTATCTTACACAGAGTCAGGGATTTGACACAGCATCAGAAGGCCGCGGAGAAGAAGGTGAAACTTCCACAGATTCCTTTCCAAAGAAAATAAAGGTACCAAGAGATACATACCTTTTAGCAAACTTAGTATCATTTCTGTATTGAGTATAGTATTCTATTTGAAGTTAAACAGTATAGTCTCTTTCCATATTTTGCAGATAATAAGGTATAATATATTCAGTAAATATGTATATAAGGACTGATATAATTTTTAAAAATTTTTTTATTTATTTTGCTAAACTATGTTATCTCAAAAACTAAAAAAGAAGGGAGAATGGAGGAGGGTGAGAGGGAAAAAGGGTGAGTGAAGAAAGAAATATCATGTTGTTAGAATTGTATCTACAAATCACATTGAATATGTGAAAAACTAGTTTAAACCAAAATTTAAGTGATTCAAACCTAAAAAGAAAGAAGGACCTCCCATCCACTGGTTCTCTCCCCAAATACCCAAAAGAGCCAGGGCTGAGCCAGGCTGAAGCCACGAGCCTGGAACTCAGAGTCTTCCTTGTGGGTGGCGGGCTCCAAGTACTGAGACATCATCTGCTGCCTCCCAGGATGCTCGTTAGCAGGAAGCTGACTCTGCAGCCCAGGAGCCAGGACTCACACCAGGCACTGCAGTGTGGGACATGGGATGTGGATGTCCCAAGTGGCTACTTAACCACTGTACCAATTACCCACCTCTAAAATTTTTATTCCCAATGTTTTTGTATGCAAAAAAAAAAAAAAATCCTTAAAGCAGACTAAAGGAATAGAAGACATTTCCCACCTCTTTCTTTTGCTCACACCAGTGGTTATTCATTAAATCTAGAAGCATAAGCAGCTAGAGAAGGAATCCAGAGGTGAGAGCTGTGAAAAATCACAGGAGGTAATTAGGGCTGGTGTCCTGCAGAGGAAGATGATTTGGTAGTGGTGGACCAGACAGTCGTATCTGCAGCCACCTTTCTTAATCAGGCTGGCTGTGTAAAGCTGTCCTGCTTATCATTTATTTATCCTTCTGTGTCTAACTGTTCAGTCTTTGAAGAAGTGGACCTAATTCTGGCTCTTGGGTTTTGGCTCCCAGGGATTACTGAGAGCTGTCCACAACGAGGGCATGCAGGTGCTTTCTCTCACCGAGGGTCCCTGTGGCGATGGAGAGGACTATCCTGGTCATCAGCTTTCAGAATCGTGGCTGGAAGAGAGAAGAGCTTACCTCAGTACAATCTCATCTCTCAAGGATTTCATTACCAAAATGCAAGTGCAAAGAGAGGTGGAGGTACTCAAAGAATATTATGCATCTATGTGATTTTATATTATTTGTGGTGTGCATTTTTATATGAATTATGGTATCTGTATTTTCATACTTGAAAATAAATTCATGTGCACTTAGACTTTTAGCATGTATTTTGGCTAGTAGATGAACATTTTTAGACTGTTAAAAGTGTGTCTATTTGAAAACTAACTTTTGTTATTTGTGCTCTGCTAGGTGTATGACAGTTCTCAGTCTCATGAGAACATCTCAGACTGGCGAGGTGAACTTCTGCTTGCCCTTCAACAAGTTTTTCTAAGGGAACGCAGTGTATTACTAGCTGCATTTAAGACCGAGCTGACAGCTTTAGGTACTAGAGATGCAGCTGGATTATTAAACTGTTTGGAACAACGAATACAAGAACAGGTATCAAAATGAAACTTTGTTTTAAAGAACGTCAGGGAGGGGCCTTCGATGTGGTATAGTGGATAAAGCCACCAGCGGTGCTGCCATCTCATGTGGGCGTCAGCTCCTGTCCCAGCTGCTCCACTTCTGATCCAGCTCCCTGCTAATATGCCTGGGAAAGCAGTGGATGATGGCCCAAGTCCTTGGGCCCCTGCACCCCCATGGGAGACCTGGAAGAAGCTCCTGGCTCCTGGCTTCTGATCGGCCCAGTTCCAGTTGTTGTAGTCATTTGGGGAGTAAACCAGTGGATGGATGATATTCTCTCTCTCTCTCTTTCTCTCTCTCTCTCTCTGCCTCTCTGCCTCTCTGTAACTCTGTCTTTCAAATAAATAAATCTTTAAAAAAAAGTCTTTGATAGTAGTAAGAAAATAAATTTTTGATTACTGTTAGAATTTAAGTATGAGAGTTAACATTTTAATAGGGGCCACTTGTTTTGCTCTTTCTCTAACTTCCTAAATTGAATGATTAGCTCATTGATTTTCAGTCTTTTTATTTTCTAGCTTATAGAAGGTAAAACATAGGAGGCAGCAGTATTTTTTTCTCCTAAGTCACATTGTTTGACTTTAGCCAGGAACACACATATCAGGCAGTTTAAATTTTTTGCTGCTCTGTGTGTCTGCAAATGACCAGGAAAGCAACATAAGTATTGACTTTAGAGTTGCAAATAATTTTTTTTTATTTTTTATTTAGTAAATATAAATTTTCAAAGTACAGTTAATGGATTACAATGGCTTCCCCCCCATAATTTCCCTCCCACTCACACCCCTCCCATCTCCCACTCCCTCTCCCATTCCATTCACATCAAGATTCATTTTCAATTATCTTTATATACAGAAGATCAATTCAGTGTATATTAAGGAAAGATTTCATCAGTTTGCACCCACACAGAAACACAAAGTGTAAAATACTGTTTCAGTACTATTTATAGCATTACTTCACACTGGACAACACACCTAAGGACAGATCCCACATGAGAAGTAAGTACACAGTGACTCCTGTTGTTGACTTAACAATTTGACACTCTTGTTTATGGCGTCAGTAATCTCCCTAGGCTCTGGTCATGAGTTGCCAAGGCTATGGGAGCCTTTTGAGTTTGCCAACTTCGATCTTATTCCGACAGGGTCATAGTCAAAGTGGAAGTTCTCTCCTCCCTTCAGAGAAAGGTACCTCCTTCTTTGATGGCCCCGTTCTTTCCACTGGGATCTCACTCACAGAGATCTTCCATTTAGATCTTCTTTTTTTTTTTTTTTTTTTCCAGGGTGTCTTGGCTTTCCATGCCTAAAATACTATCATGGGCTCTTCAGCCATATACAAATGCCTCAAGGGCTAATTCTGAGGCCAGAGTGCTATTTAGGACATCTGCCATTCTATGAGTCTGCTGTGTATCCCGCTTCCCATGATGGATCGTTCTCTCCCTTTTTGATTCCACCAGCTAGCATTAGCAGACACTAGACTTGTTTGTGTGATCCCTTTGACTCTTAGACCTATCAGTGTGATCAATTGTGAACTGAAATTGATCACTTGGACTAGTGAGATGGCATTGGTACATGCCACCTTGATGGGATTGTGTTGGAATCCCCTGGCATGATTCTAACTCCACCATTTGGGGCAAGTCTGATTGAGCATGTCCTACATTGTACATCTCCTCCCTCTCTTATTCCCACTCTTGTATTTAACAGGGAGGGATCACTTTTCAGTTAAAATTAAACACCTAAGAATAGTTGTGTGATAATCACAGAGTTCGACCAGTAGTACTAGAACAAAACAAAGAGAAAATACTAAAATGGATAAAGTATTACATTGTACATCAACAGTCAGGACAAGATCTGATCAAATCACTGTTTCTCATAGTGTCCATTTCACTTCAACAGGTTTCCCCTTTGGTGCTCAGTTAGTTGTCGCCGATCAGGGAGAACATAGGATATTTGTCCCTTTGGGACTGGCTTAATTCACTCAGCATAATGTTTTCCAGATTCCTCCATCTTGTTGCAAATGACCGGATTTCATTGTTTTTGACTACTGTATAGTATTCTATAGAGTACATGTCCCATAATTTCTTTATCCAGTCTACTGTTGTTGGGCATTTGGGTTGGTTCCAGGTCTTAGCTATTGTGAGTGGAGCTGCAATAAACATTAATGTGCAGACAGCTTTTTTGTTTGCCGATTTCATTTCCTTTGGGTAAATTCCAAAGAGTGGTATGGCTGGGTTGAATGGTAGGGTTATATTCAGGTTTCTGAGGAATCTCCAGACTGCCTTCCATAGTGGCTTAACCGGTTTGCATTCCCACCAACAGTGGGTTAGTGTCCCTTTTTCCCCACATCCTCTCCAGCATCTGTTGTTGGTAGATTTCTGAATGTGAGCCATTCTAACTGGGGTGAGGTGAAACCTCATTGTGGTTTTGATTGAGTTGCAAATAAATTTTAATGAGTAGGCAGATCTGCAAAACACAGGTTAGTGGTTGCCAGGTTAAGGTTATAAAGAGGGTGTGACTATAAAAGTGCTTCATTGTGGTGATGAAATGTTTCTATACCTTGATTGTAGCACATGTACTTGAACCTATACATGTGATAAAATTGCTAGAACTATACTCCAAGAAAAGCAATGACTACATTTAAAATCTGCAATCTGAAGAAACCCTGAAGTTTCATTGATTGAAAGATCATTTGATTGAAAGATACACAAAACTTGGGCTTAAATTAGTTTAAAATTAAAGTTTTTTTTAACTTGAAGGAAATAAGACAAAATAAGAAGTCTGTACTCTTCAAAAATCAAGGATCACAAAACACAGAGTTATAAAGACTAGTTTTCTTCTCCTTTTGCACTTGGCAAAATTCGAATAAGCTCTGTATATTAGATAACATTATAGTAATGTTAATTCAACTTTTGAATAATTGTACTGTCATAAAAGAGTTCTTGTTTTTAAGAAATACACTTCGGGCTGGCGCCGTGGCTCACTAGGCTAATCCTCTGCCTTGCGGCGCCAGCACACCAGGTTCTAGTCCCAGTTGGGGCGCCGGATTCTGTCCCGGTTGCCCCTCTTCCAAGCCAGCTCTCTGCTGTGGCCAGGGAGTGCAGTGGAGGATGGCCCAGGTGCTTGGGCCCTGCACCCCATGGAAGACCAGGAGAAGTACCTGGCTCCTGGCTCCTGCCATAGGATCAGCGCGGTGCGCCGGCTGCAGCAGCCATTGAAGGGTGAATCAATGGCAAAGGAAGACCTTTCTCTCTGTCTCTTTCTCTCACTGTCCACTCTGCCTGTCAAAAAACAACAACAACAACAAAAATACACTTTGTGGCCAGTGCCGTGGCTCACTTGGTTAATTCTCCATCTGCAGCGCCAGAATCCCATGTGGGCACCGGGTTCTAGTCCCGGTTGCCCCTCTTCCAGTCCAGCTCTCTGCTGTGGCCCAGGAAGGCAGTGGAGGATGGCCCAAGTGCTTGGGCGCCTGCATCTGTGTGGGAGACCAGGAATAAGCACCTGGCTCCTGGCTTCGGATTGGTGTAGCTCCAATTGTAGCAGCCATTTGGGGGTGAACCAACGGAAGGAAGACCTTTCTGTCTCTCTCACTATCTGTAAAAAAAAATAAAGAATAAATTAAGAAATATACTTTGTAGTATTGACAAGGAAAGCTCATGTGTCTGCAATAGATCCTTATACATTTTAGAAAAGAAAAATACTGAAATTTTTTTTTTAATTTTATTTATTTATTTGAGAGCCAGAGTTACAGACAGAGAGGGAGAGACAGATCTTCCATCCACTGGTTCACTGCCCGAATAGCCACCATGGCTGGAGCTGGGCCAGTCTGAAGCCAGGAGCCAGGAGCTTCCTCTGGGTCTCCCATGTGGGTGCAGGAGCCCAAACACTTGAACCATCTTCCACTGCTTTTCCAGGCCATAGCAGAGAGCTGATTGGAAGAGCAGCAGCTGAGACACAAACCAGCACCCAAGTGGGATACTGGCGCTTCAGGCAGAGGCTTAGCATACTACGCCACAGCACTGGCCCCTGGAATTTTTAAAATAAAAAAATTTTACCATGTGTATTCCAATCGTTTGTCTACAGACTTCCTGTTAATTTTATTGTCTAAAGCTTTCCACTTGATTTTTTTTTATATTTGCCTTTGTTATAGAGTATTGAATATCAAACAGCTATGGAATGTCTACAGAAAGCCGACAGAAGGAGTTTGTTGTCTGAAATTCAAACATTGCATGCTCAGATGAATGGTAGGAAAATGATTCTGAAAAGAGAACAAGAAAGCAATAAACCAAGCCAAGGTATGTTGTGTGACATGCTCATATGTTTTTATAAACAGGTGAAAATATTTCACTTTGTTTTCCTTATTGTTCATTTAAAGCATATTTCCTCTTAGTCACATTTTCTTATTCTCATAACATTAAGGAGATGATTATTAATTTCTACAGGGATTAGAAGATTTTCACATTTATTTTAAACAGCTATATTTAATTTTAAATGAATAGGCATTGCTTTGATCATATTGTTCGGTCCACAAAGTTCATTATCTTTCTTTATTTTAAAGCTGTAAGGGAAACAGTCTTCCTATACTCTCTAAAGGAAATCCACAATTAAAGTGACAGTTCTGTTTTTAATCCTTTTTTAAAAAATTATTAACTGTAATACCTGTGGAAAAGTGAACAATGCAAATGCATGCAATATGAAAGATTATTACATAATTATCTGGAAACATGTTTGTCAAAAAGTCGAACACTGCTGTGTCCAGTGTCCCTCTCAGACACATGCACCTCTGTAGTAACTTCAGGGTCGTCAAGTTCACTACCTATTTACATATTCATAAACAATATGTTTAAAATTTGTCCTACTTTTTTAACTTTATCAGTCTGTGCTATATTTTATGTACTGCTTCTTTCATCTGCATTAACATTCTTTCAGTTACTGCATTTGTCTCTGGTCATTTGTTTTTGTTACTGTATGGAATTCTCTCGTGGATATTCCGTAATTCAGATATCCAGTCTGTGGGAGGACATGTCAGTTGTTTCCACTGTTAGCTGATGCCGTCAGTGCTAGACGTTGTTGTGCAGTGTTTCTAGGGCATACGTGCATGAGTCCTCCCAGAGTACAGGCACGCAGTCAGGGTCTCCGTCATGGAAACAAGAACCCAGTTACTCGGGCTGTCCGCCCTGCTCCCAGGGTCTGCATGGGTAGAAAGCTGAAGTCAGGAGCCAGAGCCAGGAATTGAACCAAGCTCTCCATGTGGGATGTGAGCCTCTTAACCACTAGGCTAACTCTCCACTCCGAACTGGTCATAGTTTTGCTTTTATGATGTTCTTGTGTGGGTCTTTTTTCCTGCTTTTCAATAGGAGTTTCTGTTACCTAAAATTGACCTTCAAGCAGAAATCACTAAAGTGAAATCTGATTTTCATAAAATATAGTGAGGACATACGTCTGTGTCTCGTGTAATGGTAGAACTACTTCAGCTTTTTGCAGATTTTGAAAACCACAGCATAGGTTCACATTGTCATTGAAAAGCTAAAGCAGGGGTGGGCAGGAGGTGCAGGGGTTAAGTCATCACTTGGGACACATGTATCCCATATCAGAGCGCTTGGTTCAAATCCCTGCTGTTACACTTCCAATCTAGCCTTCTGCTAACAAGCACCCCGGGAGGCAGTAGATAATGGCCGGAGTACTTGGGGCCCCGCCGCTGATGTGGGAGACCCAAATTGAGTCCCAGGCACCTGACTGGCTGTTGCAGGCATTTGGGGAGTGAATAAGTGGATGGAGTATCTCCCTATATGTGTCTCTCTGCCTTTCAAGTAAAAGAATGAAAATAAGCCACTACCACGGCTCACTAGGCTAATCCTCCGCCTGTGGCGCCTGCACTGCAGGTTCTAGTCCCGGTTGCTTCTCTTGCAGTCCAGCTCTCTGCTGTGGCCCGGGAGGGCAGTGGAGGATGGCCCAAGTGCTTGGGCCCTGCACCCATGTGGGAGACCAGGAGAAGCACCTGGCTCCTGGCTTCAGATCGGCGCAGTGCGCTGGCCATGGCAGCCATTTGCGGGGTGAACCAGTGGAGGGAAGACCTTTCTCTCTGTCTCTCCAAAAAATAAAATAAAATAAGCATATTCCTTTCTACATAGGCATAAATAAAGATTATTTTAGAGATTTTTATGTTAGTAGAATCTGTTGAAACCTAGTTCATATATCGTAGATTCATATTTGTATTTGTAAAGCCTTAGCCTCTCCTGCCTTAAGAGATAGAGTTGTTTTGTTTTGGATTTGAGACACGTGGAGACAGAGACAGAGCTCCTGTCAGCAGATTCACTCACCAGATGCTGACTATATCGAGGGCTGGGCCAGAGCCAAAGCAGGGAACTGAAAGGTCAGTCCAGGTGCCCCACATGGGTGATAGAAACCCAGTAGAAACCCAGTCACTTCACTTGTCACCACTGCCTCCCAGAGTCTGCGTTAGCAGGAAGCTGCAGGCAGGAGGGGAGCCAGACCCAATATCAAACCCAGGTACTCTGGTGTGGAACATGGGCGTCTTAAGTAGTGTCTTAACTACTAAGCTAAACACCTACCTCAAGAAGTAGTTTTAAAAGCCTAAATTAATAGTTGATTATCATCTAATAGCAGTATTATTCCTGTCTCCTGGCATTAATATGATGAACTTTGATGGAATTTTTTTTTTAAGTTAAAAATTGTACGTATGACAGTAGTATTGTGCTACATGTTTGAGGCAGAAGAGAAAGCAGCGGCCGGCGCTGTGGTTTAGCCGGTTGACGCCATGGCCTGAAGCGCCAGCATCCCATATAGATGCCAGTTCTAGTCCCGGCTGCTCTTCTTCTGATCCAGCTCTCTGCTGCGGCCTGGGAAGGCAGCGGAAGATGGCCCAAGCCCAAGTCCTTGGGCCCCTGCACCTGCATAGGAGACCCAGAAGAGGCTCCTGGCTTTGGGTCAGCCCAGCTCTAGCCGTTGGGGCCATCTGGAGGGTGGGCCATCGGATGGAAGACCTCTCTCTGCCTATCCTCTCTATGTAACTCTGTCTTTCAAGTAAATAAATAAATCTTTAAAAAAAAAAAAAAAAGAGAGAAAAGAGAAAGAAGAGAATAAAAATCACAGGTGTTTGGCCTAACAGATGGGATGCCCATGTCCCACACTGGAGTGTCGGTTCAGTTCTCACCTCTGATTCCTGATCGCAGCTTCCTGCCAATGCGGCTCCTCGAAGGGAGCAGACATGGCTCAAATAATTGGGGTCCTGCCACTACCGTGGGCTACCTGAATTTTCTTCCCAGTTGCTACCTCCAGACCTGGATGTAACAGGCATTTGGAGAATGACCAGTATAGGGACTTTCTCTATCTCTGTCTCACTGCCCCTCAAATAAATATAAAATTAAGAATATAAAAATCAACCTTAGAATCACATAAATCATAAAATAATGATGATCTCCCAAATCGATATTTTTCTAACTCTTCTCCATGGCAATTGTCTGTAAGTTAATGGTTTGTTTGTTTGTTTGTTTTTTTTCATAAAAACAAGATCTTGATACACATATTGTTTTCACTTAACATCCTTAGAGATCTAAATTTTTTATTTTGTTTTCATTGTAAGAATTAGCAAGGTTTTGGTTGGGATTTGGACTCTCCTGTCCTGGGGAGAAAATTCCTACAGATTGTTGCAAAGGGAGGCAAACAAGAGAAGTGAGAAATCCTGACCTTGGGCTCCTGCGTTTGTCATTGCCCCAAGTAACTGCCCTGTCAGAGCCTTTGCACATTTTGACAGTGAGCCCTTGAAAATTCTCAGTGTGTGAACTCCTAATAATAGTACTTTTAATATATTCTGCTAAATTTTTATCATCCTTTTATATTTATAGTTCTAAAATCCTGACTTCTAGCACTGTGGAGACCATGCATAAATTATTTATATGAATTACCAACTTTTGAGGTGTAATTGGTCCACATTCGTTTCACAGTAGCCCCTGAGTTGTAGATGAGTTCTCATTACAGCGTGTGAGAGGCGGGATCACATTTCCAGCCCGTGTTCCGTGCAGAGCTCCTGGAGCACAACGTGCAGCAGAAGCAGGCGCAGATGCTGGAGATGCAGGCGGAGCTGGGCGGCATGACAGAGCGGGCCGCAGAGCTGCAGGAGCAGCTGAGTGCCGAAAAGCTGCTGGTGGCTGAGCTCAAGAGCGAACTTGCGCAGACCAAACTGGAACTCGAGACCACACTCAAGGCACAGCATAAGCACCTCAAGGAGCTGGAGGCTTTCAGGTGTGCCCAACTTGCTTGGGAGAACAGTGCTTTAGTGAGGGAGTCGGAGTCCTGGGGCGCCAGCACTGTGCAGCTAGTACAAGAGTACCAGCGTGCGTGGTAGTGAAACAGCGTGAAGCTATGTTGTTTGTGGGACAAACTCGATGTATCCAAATAATAAACTCACACTTACATTGATATAATACCTGCTGTGGCTTCAGTTGTATTTCAGACCTGTTGTATAAAGTGTCATTTTAGCCTTTATTTCATCACCAACTAAATGGAAGTGCTGTTTATAATCTCATATCTAAATAGGGCTTCATGGTTTAATTGGAAAATTTGCTGAGTACTTAGCTTAATACAAAGTATTTGAAAAAGTAATCATTTAAAAAAATTCTTACTGGTATAAATACTGAAATATTCTGCTTGCCAAAGATACATTGCAAGTACAGTCATTTTCATTTTAAACACACAGATTACACATTCCCATGTTCAATAAAACATGAGGCATTTTTATTAAAATTACATTGTAATAATAAATTGTATAATTGCAGTGGTAAATAATAACTAGTAGTCCTAGAAATAGTTCATTTGAAATTAACTACCATCAGTATTCCTTAGTCTTTACATGGTTTATATTTTCCAATTAGCTTATTTACAGTGTGCCTCAACTGTTCAAAGGAAACTGATTTCTCTTTTTCTCTGAATACATACTTAGACAAATAGTTCTTACAGTTCATTGTCTCCCTGACTTAGGTTGGAAGTTAAAGACAAGACAGATGAAGTACATTCACTTAATGACACATTAGCAAATGAGCAGAAGAAATCGAGAGAGCTCCAGTGGGCTTTGGAGAAGGAGAAAGCCAAAGTGGGACGCAGTGAAGAACGAGATAAAGAAGAACTGGAGGTATGGTTATGTTTGTCTTTAAATGTCTCTTGAAAACCCACCATGACAGGAGACAGTGTTGAGAGTTTCCACTGTCTAAAGTATCCTGCATTGTTTTAGAAGGCACAGTAAATTGTTCACTGTGTGTTGGATACTATTGTTAATGTTATTTAAACTGCATCGTGAGAAAATAGTGGTAATGTGATGCTTTTTTTTTTTTTTTTGCTACATCCAAAGATGGGTGCACACTGCTCCACTGCGTCGTATTTTGAAGATATGAATTAGTGCATGCATGAGTTGAGAAATAGAGCACTCACATCAGTTTAACACAGGGAAGGGAGCAGGGATACTCTGCTGGCAGCAGAAGCCCTGGTGGCTCCCTTTGAGGAAAATGAACCCTGGAGTCTCCCAGAAGGGCACCCCTGAGCCATGCACAGCTCTCAGCTCAAGGCAGGTTGTGCTGTAGGCAGTGCTCATTAAAACAGCAGCTGCAGCATCTCTAAGCTCCTTGTCCGGCCACATAATCCCAGTTTCCACAACTCTGTTCCTGCATTTTTGCTCTGTTCTTTTTGAATATCCACTGTGGTAGCCACCAGGCATAGTGAACTCTAATTGCAGGGACATATTCTCTTCCCAGATACTGGTTTTGTTTGTTTTGTTTTTATTTATTTACTTGAGAGATAGAAAAAAAGAGACTGAGAGAACCCCCATCAGGTGCTTTACCCACTAAATGCTCAGAATAACCAGGGCTCAGCTAGCCCAAAGCCAGGAGCCAGGAACTCAATCCAGAGCTCCCATAGCGGTTGCAGAAACCCAGTCATTAGAGCCATCACTGCTGCCTCCCAGGTTCTGCATTAGCAGGAAGCTGGAGTCAGGAGCAGGAACTCAGAAACAAACCCAGGTGCTCGGGGGTGGTACACAGGCATCGTGACTACTGGGCTGAATGTCCCCTCATTGCTATTTTTTATCATTAAGATTTTTGTAATTTGATTCATTTGTCCCTAATGCTGCTTTTCCCATATGCTGTATTTTTAGCCTGTGACACTACAAAACAAAGGGTTTCTTAAGGATTTCTGTTGCTTCATGTCAGCAACACTTATTAGTTTTAAAGGTTGCTATTCTTAGGAAAAGTGTATCCTGCTTCATATTCTTTAGCCAGATAAGATTAATGTTTTAAGAGAAAAGATTAATGCTTTGAGAAAATATCTCACCTATATTTTTCATGCCTTCTTAAAAAATCAGCCATCCAACTAATTATAATATGACCACTGATAATTAGTTCTGTCTCCTGTTGCCAGCTTAATAAAGTCATGTTGTATACTTAGAGTATTTAAGATTTATTTTATTTATTTAAAAGAGTTACAGTGAGAGAGAGAGGTCTTCCATTCCACTGGTTCACTCTCCAAATGACAACAGTCAGAGCAGAGCTGATCTGAAGCCAGGAGCCAGGAGCTTCTTCCAGGTCTCCTACATGGGTGCAGGGGCCCAAGGAGTTGGGCCATCTTCTTCTGCTTTCCCAGGCCTCAGCAGAGAGCTGGATTGGAAGAGGAGTAGCTGGGACTAGAACTGGGGCCCATATGGGATGCTGATGCTTCAGGCCAGTGTTTTAACCCACTGCGCCACAGCACTGGCTCCTAGTTAGAGTATTTTTAATAATATTAAATAAAATTCCTTAAATTTGTTTTCTCCTACAAGGATCTGAAATTTTCACTTGAGGATCAGAAACAAAGGAATGTTCACCTAAATCTACTTTTGGAACAACAGAAACAACTACTAAATGAATCACAGCAGAAAATAGAATCACAAAGAATGCTGTATGATGCCCAGTTGTCAGAAGAACAAGGTCGAAACTTAGAGCTTCAGGTGCTTCTTGAGTCGGAGAAGGTTCGGATTCGGGAGATGAGTAGCACCCTGGATAGGGAACGGGAGCTGCATGCCCAGCTGCAGAGCAGTGGTGAGAGCGGGCAGCCCCGGCCACCCCTGCCCTCTGAGGACCTGCTGAAGGAGCTGCAGAAACAGCTGGAGGAAAAACACAGTCGCATAGTAGAGCTGCTAAATGAAACTGAGAAATATAAACTGGATTCTTTGCAAACGAGACAGCAGATGGAAAAAGATAGGCAGGTTCACAGGAAGACATTGCAGACGGAACAAGAGGCCAACACTGAGGGACAGAAGAAAATGCGGGAGCTCCAGTCCAAAGTGGAAGATCTGCAGCGCCAGCTGGAGGAGAAAAGGCAGCAGGTTTATAAGTTGGACCTGGAAGGCAAGCGACTGCAAGGGATTATGCAGGAATTCCAGAAGCAAGAACTAGAACGAGAAGAGAAACGAGAAAGTAGACGAATTCTGTATCAGAATCTTAATGAGGTAAATTGACGCTTTGGGTTTTCAAAATTATTCTTAAAAAAGTACCATAGCCCCTTGATCACAAAGTTTTGGCAATAGATTAAGAGCTATGTGCAAATCCTTTAAAATGAAATCTATAGAAGTTTGGAATATAAACAATAATTGTCCGTAAGAAGTAATGTAGAAAAAAAATAATGTGGTATGCTGTTCATTTATAATTACTGTTTTCTTTTTCTGTCCAAAATTACCAGCCGTCTACTTGGAGTTTAACCAATGATCGAACTAGAAATTGGGTTCTTCAGCAGAAAATAGAAGGCGAGACAAAGGAATCAAGCTATCCTAAACTGATTGAAATGAATGGAGGTGGAACTGACTGTAATCCCGAATTAGAAATGATCAGACAAAAGCTTCAACATGTGGCTTCAAAACTACAGCATCTATCCCAGAAAGCCTATAATAGGTTAGGCCTTTCTACCTGGTCTTTGGAAATAGCAGTGTTAGGCTGAACAGACTCTGTCCCCTGCTAAAAACCATCCAAGGGTGGGAGCTGCCGTAAGGGTGGGAGCTGCCGTGGGAAAGGGAGTGCATGTTTACATTAGCAGGTGCTATTCTGTAACAAAACCCACACATGTGGGGACAGTGGGCACCTTGTGGGGCAGGAGAACCTGTATACCAGGGGGAGGTGACAGGTGACAGAGCATCAGTCCATCTGTTATGTTTGTGTCAGTAAACGACCCCAGGTGACTTTTTCTTGTTGTCTTTCTTAAAGACTACAGTTTGAAACAGCAGATGATGAGGATTTCATTTGGGTTCAGGAAAATATTGATGGGATTATTTTACAGCTGCAGAGATTGACTGGCCAGCTGCGTGAAGAGGTAAGACTCTTAAAGCATTTTTACTAATTGTAAATACTAATGCTGCTCAATTACCCCCAGTAGAAGGCAGTAAAAGGCTGGGGTGAGGGTGGGGATTAACTTCTGTTGTTACTGAGTGTACTGACCACTTCCTGCAGTAAGAGAGCTTCCTGAAAGATCCGTCTGGCTCCTACGCTCACCACTTGGTGACTCCACCCCGAGGCTCCTCCCCGTCTTCACAGTTGACTAATCTGGTGAAGCTTTGCTGTCTCTGTCTTCCTCAGTCTCTCAACTTCTCTGTAGCATTCGCCAGTTTTGACCTCTTCTGTCCTAGTACTGTTCTCAGTCCTTCACCTGTCACCTTCATGGTAAAGCTCATTCCTGCCCACAGCCTGAGCGGTCACTGGATTTATTACTAAACAAATACTGACATTGAGCGCCTACTGTGTGCCTCCCGCTGCACTGAGTTCTACGGGTCCAGTGACAAGTCTCGCCGTTTGCAGCTTATCTCCTGGTCTACATCTTTGTGCTGTGAGCTACGCTCACATTTTCAGTTAGTTATGGAAAGTTACATCTTTCGTTGAGGAAATGTTCCCCAGAGTGACCTGAGGGACCTCCAGGCACAGTCTAAACTGACCATCTTCCCTCGCTGCTTCCTGCCCCAGATCCTACACTGTCTGCACGCAGCAGCCCCCCATGTAGAGAGCCGGGAGTCGTCTTGGACCACCTTCCTCACCATTACCTGTGCGTCTGAGCACTCACCAAGTCCTGTGCCTTCTGCTTCTAAATGTCTGCCTGGCGCCCTGGACTCTGTCCTCGTCATTGCTCCATTCAGGCTCTCACTGTCTCGTCTCTGGGCTGACTCAGACTTCCTGACAGTCTGCAGAAAGGGATTGGTGTCATACTCTTGCCAAAATCCATCACCTGCTGTAGGTCTGATGGCCGTGGAATGAAGTTAGCAAGCAACTTGCACCTCCCCAAAAGCACCGCACTGCCACTGGAACCTTACACCTGCTGTTCCGAGTGCTTACTCTGCTGTCCCTGTCTTCTGTCCCACTAGGTAACAGCTCTGATTCAACTCGCACACTGCTCATGAAATCTGTTGCCCTCAGCTCCTGTTCACACCTTGAGGTGCATAGTTCATATTCACTTGTGCTTAGGTGACCTTGTGCCATTTTATTTTTGCAGCCTAGCATAGTGTCCCCAAGTACTCCTTGTGGCTCACTGACGGAAAGACTACTGAGACAAAACGCTGAGCTGACAGGCCACATCAGCCAACTCACCGATGAAAAGAATGACTTGAGGAACATGGTTATGAAGCTGGAAGAGCAGACCAGGTGGTATCGGCAGACAGGAGCCGGCAGAGACTATGTACGTCTGTTTTCAGCATGTCTGCCCAGTAGAAGTAGTGCACACTTTTAAGTTCTACTGTCTAGTTTGAGTTTTTAACTGTGATCATGTAAAAATGTCAAGTATCCGAAGTAGGATCGGTGGGAAACTTTATAGGCATGACAGTCATATTAACAATATGTTATGTGGGAAGCCTTCTCTGTACCAGACTCAGAATTGAACTGGAATTTTAGTCAACCTGAGATCCAGGTACTTTACTATCTAGAGACTGACAGCAGCCACGTGGAAAGAAATGTTCCAGTGTGGGCCCTGACCGCTCCAGTTATTTATCTGTTAATGTGTTTATGATGCAAATGAAAGATGCTGTTCTGTTGTAATTTTCAATCCAATAGACTACTCTGGAAATTTAAGCTTTTTCCATCTAATAACTACAAAACAAATAGCTCCTTTCTGTGATCAGCAGTAGAGAGCACAGCCGTGTGAGACAGCTGAATGGTCAGGTGGGAGAGGCACCTGCCCTCCGGGGCTCCACGACTTACCCACACACTGGCTTGTTTGTCCTCACATGAGGTGTCAGCATTTGGACCCAGATGGTCTGTAAGTCTGCTAAACCACTTCTGTGGCCAGTCCTCCTCAAGAAGTGTTGGTTAGAAAGCTAACCTGCTTAGCAAAGGAACATGTACTCCAAGTGAGTGAATATTCTGTAATGTCATTTGAGATTGGCTTTGAACTTCTGCTAACTGAGGTGAAGAAGCTGGGACAAGGTGCCCAGGATGGGAATCCCTTTAAACTGTTTAATGTCGAAGTTCTTGCAGTTCATGTAAGTGGGCTGTGGTCTGCAGTCTTCTAGGTTTGCATTCAGTGGTGGTGCCAGCATTGAAGCCATCATTGCTTCTGAAAAAGAAGTGTGGAGCAGGGAAAAGGCAGCTCTCCAGAAATCCCTGAAGAGGGCGGAAGCCGAAGTGTGCAAACTGAAAGCCGAGCTGAGGAATGATGCTCTGCTCCAGCACCTGAGCCCCGATTCTGAAAACGCCGCCCTAAAGGTAGCGGGCTCCCCGCCCTCGCACCACCGCTGCCCCTGCTTGCCGTCTTCTCCCCGAGCTTCACTGAGCAGACTGACGCGTGGGGCCCATGTCTCTGGGCCTGTGTATCGTGTCTGAATACAAATGCAGGCCTCTGGTCACAGGGGACTTGTAGAGAGGCATGGCCAAGACTGCCACATTTCACTCTGTTTATTGCCGGGGCAGCACCTAGAACTCTCCCACCTCCCATAATGTTGTCCTTTCAACACCCAACAGAAGTTCCGCTACTGTCAGGGTAAGAGTATTGTTCCCCATGAGACGAGAAGCCCTCTGCATAGCCTCTCTGATGACTCTCAATGGTTATTCCAGTAAAACTACCTTAGCCAGTTAACACTGGATTCAAAACAAAAAGAAAAAAGTTGTTGGAATACTTACTCCAACTGTGAGGTGAATGTAAATTTACAACTCCTTTTTAAAGATTTATTTATTTATTTGAAAGGCAGAATTACAGAGAAAGAGAGGGAGAGACAGAGAGATCTGCCGTCTGCTTGGTGCACTCCCCAGATAGCTGCAGTGGCCAGAGCTGGCCAGGCCAAAGCCAGGAGCCTCATCCTGGTCTCCCACGTGGATGCAGGAGCCCAAGCACTTGGGCATCTTCCACTGCTTTCCCAGGCCACAGCAGAGAGCTGGAGCAGAAGCGGAGCAGCCAGTGCTCAAACCAGTGCTCGTATAGGATGCCGGCACTGCAGGCGGCAGCTTAACCTGCTGTGCCACAGCACTGGCCCCAGATTTATAACTCTGAAAGGGACAGAAAACAACACTAAAGAAGTTAAACTAGTGACTGTAATAATAACTGTGCAATTAACACACACACACACACACTCAGGGGCAGCAAGAATTGACCATTGCAGTTATGACAGCCACATCCCATGTCAGAGTCCCTGTGTTCAGTACCCAGCTCCGACTTCTGCCTCCAGCTTCCTGCTCAGGCAGACCCTGGGAGGCTGCGTTTGATGGGTCGAGTGCTTGGATCACTGCCACCCACTGGGAGACCCTGACTGAGTTCCAGGCTCCTGACTTTAGCCTGGTACAGCCTCAGTCATTGTAGACCCTTGAGCAATGAACCAACTGGTGAGAGTTCTGTCTTGTTCTCTTCTGTCTCTCTCTTCCTCTCAAATGAATTGTTTAAAAATCATTTTTAAAAAGGGGCCAGCAGTGTTGTAGCTTAGCCTATACAGCTACCACCTGCAGTGCCGGCATCCCATATGCGCACCAGTTCTTGTCCGGCTACTCCACTTCCAATCTAACTCCTGGCTAATGGCCTGGGAACAGCAGCAGCAGATGGCCCAAGTGCTTGGGCCACTGCTACCCATGTGGGAGACCTGGAAGAAGTTCTGGCTTCAGCCTAGCCCAATCCTGGCCGTTGTGGCCATCTGGATAGTGTACTAGTGGAAGGAAGATCTGTCTCTTCTCTCTCTTCTCTCTGTCTCCTCCCTCTGACTTTCAAATAAAAAAATATATTAAAATTAAAAAAAAAAATAACAGGATCACAGAAATATATGCAATCAATAGGATGAATGGAGCTAAAATATTTTTAAGTGGGTTGATAGTTGGCGCAGCAGTTAAACACCACTTGGAAGACCTGCATCCCAAATCAGAGTGCTTGGTTTGAATCCAGCTCCACTTCTGATCTAGCTTCCTGCTACTGTGCACCCTAGGAAGGCAGCAGATGCTGGCTCAAGTACTTAGGTTCCCACTGCCCATGTGGAAGACTGAGATGGAGCTCGTATCTCGTAGCTTCAACCTGGCCTAGCTATTTAGTGGGCATTTGGGAAGTGATCTGTCTATAACATGTCTCTGTCTCTCTTTATCTCTCTGTCTCTCTCACTGTTCCACTCTGCTTTTCAAATAAAATGTTTTTAGTGTCTAAAAAGCGCAGCTGTAAGATTGTACTAGACCCCACCCACAAACTACAAAAGGCAAAAATGTAAAGGTTAAGGTTAATCCTGTTTCATTTCAATTTGCAGAGTAGACAGCAGTGATGGGGCACCTGCCAGGCTGCTACTGCTACTTTCGTTTTTTTAGTCTTGATAACCTTCCCTGGCGAAAAACGTGAACGGCTTCTTAAAAATGTGTTCCCATTCTTCCCTCTGTAAACAGAGAATTTATGGCAAATACCTGAGGGCAGAGAGTTTCCGAAAAGCACTCATTTATCAGAAGAAATACCTGTTGCTGTTACTGGGCGGGTTCCAGGAGTGTGAAGACGCCACGCTCGCCCTGCTCGCCCGCATGGGGGGGCAGCCGGCCTTCACGGACCTGGAGGTGATCACCAACCGGCCCAGGGGCTTCACCCGCTTCCGCGCGGCCGTGAGAGTAGCCGTTGCGGTTTCAAGGTAGGCGGCGCAGACCACAGCGTGCTGGCGCGGGCGCCCTGAAAGCTTGGGTTGGGTTTCACTCGCCCGCCTGTCTTTCCCCCGTCCCTCCACAGAGGAGGGGGCCTTGGTCGCCTGCTGTTTCTGGGCCTCTGTCCTTTCGCGGGACTGCTTTGTGCTGCACTGTGCAGGCCCTGTGCAAGAGGCTGTCCCGGCTGCGGGCGGCTGGCAACTCCCAGCACATGCGTCCGGCCCGGGTTGCCTTCCTGAACAAACCTGCTCAGACATGGAGAGATTATAAAGGGAAAGCTTTTTTTTATTACCCCTTGGGCTGGCATCCATTTGTTTTCTGTATTTCTAAATTCCTTCTCTTGGTGCCTTGCTCCTGAGGCCCTGAGCTAACTGTAGTCAGGTGGAGGGCAGCCTCGGCCGCCCCTGCTGCTGCCTCGGTCATCCCGTCCCCCGGGCTGCCCAGTGAGGGACGGCGGTGCTCGAGACGCAGCCAGGGCTCAGTGGCCCTGAGGCCCTGAGGCCGGGCCTGGTGGACCCAGGGCCCCTGGCCAGCTGCACGCCCCTTGTAATTCCCCAGCAGCCGGCAGAGGCGCAGAGGACTTTGTTTTCCAAAGGTCTGACCCTCAGGTCGCAGCGATGTTTCCGCAGCTCTTACCTTTCTCAGTTTCTCAGGAAAGCACTGACATAATTTTTTTACTGAAAGCTGAGATCATCTAGTCCAGAATCGATCCACTCCACAGATGAGAAAACTGAGGCCGGAAGAGGTTTCTGAGCCAGCAGCGCCAGAGCCGGGAGAACCAGCCTGGTGTCCCGCTGTGCTGGCTTTGTCTGATGGCTGACCCTCCCTGCCTCTGCTGCCGCTCCACGTGGTCTCTACAGAGGCTCATCTCCCATTGCTTCGTCCCCACGTGGGGAGAAAGCAGGCAGTGAGCGAGATGGCAGCGGTAGAAGCCTCGGGATCCCTGGCTGCATCCCGCAGCTCGCCGTCCCGCGGGGCTCACGGGAGAGCCGGGAGGAAGCTGCTCCCGGGACTTGGCTCCACCCCCTTTTCCTCGTCCTCTCAGGCGCCCGTTCTTTTGGCTCTCCCAAAAGTGTGCCGTGCAGCCCATCCGAGTGAAGAAACCAAAGCCGGCACTTCGAGAGCTCCGTGGCGAGGACGGGTGGGCGCTGACCTAACGCAGCCTGGTCGGGACCGAACTCCCCGGGCCTGTGGAAGGCCGCGATTCTGTTCCCGGCCACACGGCCTCCCCACTCACCCCAGGATCGGGTCTTGCGTCCTGCCCCATCTCACCCGCCCTTCCTGCTCTGTGCCTCCTCGTTCCATTATCTCTCGGCCCTTCCTTTGCCCATCCGCTGTTTTCCTGTCTCCTCTTGTCTCCACCTCTTTGTGTCCCTTTCGCCGGAAGAATCTAATGCTGGCAGCGTAAGCAACCTGTGCTGCCCCTGTGAGGGGTGAGCAGAGCGTGGCGCCCTGTCCTCCGTCCCGGTGGATTTGGCCTTCAGCTAGGGGCGCTGCCGTGGGTGAGGTGACGCAGCGTGATCGTGCTGAAGTATGTCTCTCTGCAGTGTGGACGCAGCGTGAAACTTGATCTCTGACTCTTTTGTAGAATGAAATTTTTGGTTCGACGATGGCATCGCGTCACAGGTTCCGGTTCCATCAATATTAACAGGGATGGCTTTGGACTGAATCCAGGTGAAGTCGAAATAGCGTATTTCCCTGTTTACAACTCTGAAATGACTGCATGCATGGTACTTTGCAAATGAATTTTGGAACCAGTGTTGTCCCAGAGCAGAGCCCTTGTGACCGACACGGCCGGGGCCTCCCTGCTCTAAGGAGAGGGTGCAGCTGCCCCGCTCTTTTCATGTATGTTCCCATCCTGTGACACAAGTGCAGTGACTTCCCTCAGTCCTCGATGACAGGGAGCCGTGGCACTGCCCAGCGGCCTGGCTCTGGAGCCCACATCCTTAGGAGTGCCCTCAGGCTCTGGCTCAAGAGAGAAAGCTGTCAGCCATGTGGGCAGTTGTGATTGAGGTTTTCATACTTTACCAGTGCCGAAGTAGGTTTCTCAGTTTGCTAATAGGCTATATAACACTGGTAGCTGTTAAAGGTCTCTTTCCTCCGGGAAGTGGGATAGACACTGGGGCTTGAACATTCAGGCACAGGATGAGGTCAGAAGTGCAGGCAGGCGCCGGGGTTAGAGGCGCTGCCTCCTTGTTGATGTTAAACCTGGGCCTTCCCGTGGTCCACAGTGGAAGCAGAAACACTTTGCACCCTAAGAAAGGAATTTTGAAATATGTATCCTTCCACTGAAACAGCTGGGATGGGCACCGTGAGGATGTGTTGTGTTAAAGGTTTGCAAATCGCGACTTTAAGTTTTTCCAGTGTAAGTCAGTAGAATGGAATGATAAAAGAACTTGGTTACATTGGCCTAACACTTTTACCTACACCATCTTTCCGCTAAAACCACACACTCCCAGAGAGGAGGTCATCTAAAAAGAAAATGCTCCCGTTAGTTTACTTTGGACCATCACAGTAGCAGAAATGCTCATGTTCAAAGGCGCAGTAGCTTCTGAAAGCCAGACTGTTGGTGCGGCTTCTCCCCGTGAGCAAGAACCGGATGTGTGGTTTCGTGCAGAGCAGCAGAGTGCTGAGCACGTTTTACAGAAAGCTTGGCTTGACGTTTTTTCTTTACTTGCACATTTTGGACAACTTTAGGCGCTGAAAAGACGGACTCACTTTATCATTCTTCTGGTGGGCTGGAGCTATACGGAGAACCAAGACACACAGCCTACCGTTCAAGATCAGATCTGGACTATCCTCGGTCACCTTTGCCGTTTCAAAATAGGTAAGGACTTTATCACGACTGCCGGAGTCGCTGAGGATGTTAATATCTGACAGAGAAAGATGGCCGCTGTTATGGCCTTGACTTCTTTGTATTGGGCGAGCTAGACATCTTTTAAGGGACACGTAATACACATAGCCTCAGGCTCAGAATCAATTTTTAATGTGAACTGGCTTCCAGGGACTTGGGACACTGCCGGCTCAGCGTTAATATACGCTGTGCTTAGACACGGGAAAGCATCGACCAAACTTGCTCGCCGCTGGCCTTTACGGAAACTCTGGTCTGCACGATGGGATGCACTTGGGCATTTGTTGAGCCTCGGGGACAGACATGGTACTTGAGTAAATTCGGAGGCGACTGTCCTCGTTAGAATGTCAAGAGTTTGTTCTTTCTCATCCCCAAACCAGACGGCCCGCCATTCAGGGACAGGGAGTGCAGCTGGTAACTTACTCGCGTTGTTTCTGGATAATTTGCATTCCTGTACCTTCTTTTCCTCGTGCAGGTATCCAGGCACCCCAGCGGATTTCAACCCAGGTTCCCTAGCATGTTCTCAGCTTCAGAACTATGATCCCGACAGGGCCCTAACAGATTACATCACTCGGCTCGAGGCGCTGCAGAGACGGCTGGGAACCGTGCAGTCAGGTACTGTGTGGGCGCACACGCAGCTCTCCTTTCTCTGTTTGAAACCCTGTGGCCCTTGATCATTGTGATCATCCAATCTTCCAGCCCATTGCAGGAGTCACCTGGTTAGCCAAAGCCTAAACTCTTAAACTCTTTAAACTCAGTTTGTCTGCAAGTTAGTCATGACGTGACTTAGCACCTTGGATTCCACTCCCCACAGGATTCCCTTGTACCACCACTCAGCTGATTAATCAGTCAGACAGAACGCGTGATGAGCCAGTGTGCAGGGTACCTGGAGGCTCGAGAATGCGGTCCTTAGGAAGGCTGAGACCCGCACGTAGACGTGGCGGGGGAGGGGGCACTTACTACTACCTTGTACCCCAGCTGCTGAGCCGTGCTTTTATTCGTAATGCAAAACCCCATCCTTTCCAAGGACTTTGTAGCTCACACACACACACACCTTTCATACTTTATGCAGGTGGGTTCCCTGTTCACTGTGGGAACCTCTTTCCCCTTCATTTCACCCCCAATTCAAAGATTCTGAATCCATTGTAGTTTAAGTGATTGTACTCAGTAAAACTAAAAACAAGATAACAAAAGTTAAACGACCCATTTTTTTCTATTCGTCCTACAACTATGACATAATAACATTATTTGAAGTCAGTGGTTTATCTCTTCAAGAAATCATTTATGGGACAGACTTCTTAAGATTTTCTTTGAGAGGTGGAGCTACAGAAACAGAGAGAACCATCTCCATCTGCTAGTTCACCCCAAACAGCCACAGTGGTTGGAGCTGAGCCTTTCCTAGGCCAGGAACCAGGAGCTTCTCCCGGGTGACCCACGCAGGCGCAGGGGCCCAAGTACCTGGGCTTGTGCTGCTTTCCCAGGCCATTAGCAGAGAGCTGGATTTGAAGAGGAGCAGCTGGGATACGAACCAGCACCCATAAGTGGAAGATTAGCCCATTACGGCACAGTGCTGGCCCTATGGGACATTGAGCTTAGTGCTTAAGATGCCTGCATCCCACCTTGGGGTGCCTGGGCTCCGTTCCCAGCCTTGGCTGTTGACTCCAGCTTCCTGCCAATGAAAACCTCAAGAGGTAGCAGTGATGGCAAGTCATTGGGTTTCTGCCACCCACACAGGACACCTGGATTATGTTCCCCACTTTGTTTCCCCCCCGGCACAACCGTGGCTGTTGTAGGCATCTGGAGAGTGAACAAATGCGTGGGGGCTCCCCGTCTTTCTCTTTCCCCCAAATTTGTCTGCCTCTCCAATAAACAAATGAAACATTTTTTTAAAAGATCGTTTAACCCAAGCAGCTTGTAGTAATAGGAAACATTTACTGTCATAGCTGAGGCTTGGTTTGACTTGTATTGTTGTAGGCATCAGAATTCCACAAGACCAGGATTTTTGAAGACATTTTTCAGGCTGTATTGGGGATCCTTCAGAAAGTTCATGCAGAATGGTTTATTTTGGTACAAAAAAAATTGAAACTCCTGTGTCGTTTTTTCTTAGTATACATTTCCTATAAACTTTTGGAAGAATCCTCACCTGCATGGACTTCCATCTTTTTGGACCAAAATAACCTTAGCTTTTAATTCCATTTTCCATGAATTTTTGAGGTACCCACAGATAAGGTACATTCACCCTTCAGAACACTTAAAAATCTTACCAAGGCATTTTTTTTTAATGGAGAATATTAGTCTGCCCTGTGTGAACTAGTTAGCTAGGAATAGATAGGAATCTAATTTGAAATCATAGTAACAGAAGCATCCATAATTGGATTACGCCAAGGAAACAGGGAACAAGCTGGAGCCCCAGAAAACATGTCCTGTTTCTCTCTCATAGGTTCAACTCCTCAATTTCATGCTGGCATGAGAAGATAATCCTTTGAAACATCATTAACTGAAGTGATTTTAAGCAAACTCCCTTTTGTAAATCAATGGTTCTTTTGTGCTTTTGTATTGTGAATATTCACTGGGACCAGTAGGCACACAGCTTATGATTGTATACAATCCCTTGCCAGCACATGAAAGCAAACTGGAATTTGTATATATGCGCATTGTGTATGTATCCATGCACAATCATCATCAAATTACCTGTATATTTGTGGAATGCTAATTTAAATGATTAAATTATGAACCTTGTGTATTTCTTGGGTGGGCGAGATTAAACTTTTGCGCATTATGATGCTGCTGAATGTGTAGCTTGCAGTGCCCTGCACTTTTCTCCCAAGGCCACTGAAGTTACATGTTTCTGCCTAATATATTTGCTACTGGTGATGAAGACAGATACTGTCACTTGTAGAGCCCTATTTTTGTATAATGGTAGAAGTTTTGAATTTTATGGGGTATTTTGTCAAGTACTGAAATAAAAATGACTTCACCATTTTCACCACACTGTTTGAACCTCTTCATTTGTATATGAGCTGCAGTTCTTGGTACCTGTCATCTCAGTACTTATGTCACATATGTAGGACTTCGGGGTGTGGAGAAAGAGTTGTGCTAATCTTGAAAGTGCATACTGTTGGGGGCCTTTCCCTTCCCTGAGGAACGAAGGTTTCCACGTGCCTTTGCATCACAGACGTTAGGTCTACATCTAGTATATTTTAAGCTATATTGGTATTTGGATGATTAATCCAGATGACTAATGCACATTTGCTGTATCTAGTGGTACGTGTATCTAAAGACAAGTCCTCACAAATCCATGGCCCACTAAAATGGTAATAAGTATTTAGCTCAAAGAATCTTAAATTTTATTAATCACAATGCAAAAAGAATTCTTGCTATCTAAACCAAATTCAAACTGAGACGTCATTCTCCCAGAGCTAACCCAAGTACCAGTGTTACTTCTTACCTAAGGTCCTTCCTCCCCACTAACATGCACCTCACTCAAACAGCCAGGAGTCCGTCTGGTGGTTACAGCCGCAGAGATCTGATCTTTATTAGTGTCTGACACTCCGTTCTGCCAACCTCCTGCTCACACAGGTTACTTTCATTTCCCTAACAGCCGGGTTCCAGCAGGAGGAATTCTAGCACTAGTGAAGGTGAAAGCTGCTTTCCTGCGAGCACGCTTGCCGCTCCAGGAAGACAGTGGGGAAGGGAACAGATGCACTAGTGCAGGGCTCTGCCCCATCAGCCTCCGCAGTCCCACCCCATGCTGCTCAACAAGTGATCTGTGATGAGAAACTAAGTTTGCTGAAGTTGAAGACAAAGTACAACATTGCACAGGAAGCCAACTACATAGGATGATTACCAAATCTTGTGTAAAAACTTGGTGCAATACGAAGATTACAGCATAAATGAGACTTAGCCATAATTTCACATAGTGGTGATAAAAGTAAAAGATACTCAGATCAGCAGCATCTATAATTTCATTTGCTGCTATCTGTAATTTCTATCTCCAGAGTCCAGGACACTGCTAGCACTAGTGTGGTTTGTTGCCTGAATTCATAAAATCGAGGGGAGTAAGTCGCCCATAGAAAACAGTGCAAATAAGGATATAATTTTTCCTCTCCAAGTTTTTGAAGAGTCCCTGAAGTCTACTCACTGAAACACACACTCCACAATTCATGAAAACAATTTTCTTCAAAGAGAATTTTAATCTGAAAAATTGTTCAACAGCACAGATTTCACCTTCAGAATTAAGAACTTAACATGAATCTTCCAGCTTCTTAAAACTGTAATGTCCATAAGGGAAAACATATTGGTTTCATCTGGTAAGACATTACATAGTCAAATTACAGGCAGAGTGTCAGGGCCCCAAGTTAGAATTCCTGAACACAAGCTTCCCAGAACGTGAGCAGTGCTGCCAACGTCAGGACCCTGGCTCTTTAAACTAAACAGGCAGAGTTCCCTGGTTTCAGACACTACGTTTGATTCAAACAGCCAACTTTTCAAAGGAATAGTAACAAACATCCATAATAGGATTCTGCTGAGGAACCCAACAACCTTGAGCCACAGAAGAGAAAAAATCAGCCCCTAAGGACCTGAATTTAAATTTTCACATTTGGCTGTGACCTTTGGAACCAGGTCACTTAGATGGAGAAACATGTAATACTTAGGTGAAAATAATGATCAGCCTTCACTATAACTAACTGTATTATAGTTAGGAAATAGGACCATCAGATTATGGACTGCATCACTCGATGTCCTATACCAGTGCTTCCAGTTAAAACTGGAACAGTCTATCTACTTTCTATAGTACATACAGCTCCACCATTGGAGCAGTCATCACACCAAAACACTGTTCTCTTTTACCCAAAGCATTAAATGTACCTCTCCCTGCCATCCTCACACAGGCACACAACTTACCCAAATAAATGAATAACCTATGGCTTCCCAGTGCCTCACTGGGCTTTTTAGACCTTGTAGAACTCGTCCAAGCTTTGAGTCCTCTAGCTATGCATGCTCTTAAAATCATACCTGGAAACTCTGACCGAGAAGCTGCCAATGACCCAGATCCCCCTTAACAATTTTACTAACTGGCTTCCTTAAAGTATATTTACTATGTATCAAAACTGTTAGAAAAAAAAAAGTTTCGAATGCCATTAGATTTGATAAAACCATTCAAAGTTAATAAAATACTAAAATCATAAGTTAAACTGTCTTAGAATTACACACTGAGAAACACACTGTGCGAGGTGTTTGGTAAACGTCAGTGTCTTCCAGAGCATCTGCAGCCCACAGCGCGCGTCACACTGGCTCCCTGAGCCTTCTCATGATGATCTTCGTCTGTAACGGATAACTGGGTTCTCAGGGGTGTGAATCATAGTGGTGTAATTCACAGTAGGAAAATATCCATCAATGAGATCAAATTCATACAGTCGAAGCATAGTGGACCAAATTGTCTTAATCTGCACGTAGGCAAAATTCTCCCCAATACAACGATGACGCCCTGGGGGGGAAAGAAACAGGAGTGAAACCATTTAACTAAATTTTAAAATAGCAGATGTACAGATTAGTATGCTAAAAAGATGACACTTTCACATAAAATAAGAAAATAGTTAATTAAAACATCCTAGTATATTTTCAGTGCTTTAATAAAAACAGCACCTGGCTAATGACTCTTCCAGTTCTGAAATTTAACAGCTTTCTGAATTAAATATATGAAGGTTTGAATCATACAATCATCAATATTACTGTATATTCTCAGGATATGTAAGCTTGAGAATATACAGTAATATCCAGGAGAACCCAAAATTACAAGTGAACAGGAATCAAAATTTAAAATGTCATGCACATAGTAGAAACTGACAAGCTGAGTCTAAAATGCAAGGAAATACAAAGGACCTGGGAGATCCAAAGCAATCTTGAAAAAAAAAAAAAAAAGTTGAAAGACAAACCAACTTCAAATCTGACTTTGAAGACTAAAGGCACAGAAACTAATACAGGTGGCACTGAATAAGGATTCGACAGGGCACAGACCGCAGAAGTGCTGGGGCAGGCGAAGCAGTGAGAAGAGTCTTCAAGACACCACACTGGAATACAGCACTACAGGGGAGGGGCCCTTTACCCTCTACTGTACACCGCACTCAATTCAAGATGGATCACAGCAGTTAATGCTGAAGTCATCAAGAGAAAAGGAGATGATCTTCATGACTTGGGGCCAGGCAAAGATTTTTAGACAAGACCAGAAAGGCCGGCACTGAAGTCTCCACCTGCAGCGCCGGCATCCCATATGGGCACTGGTTTGTATCCCGGCTGCTTAACTTCCCATCCAGCTCCCTGTTAATCCATGTGGGAAAGCAGCAGAAAATGGCCCAAATGCTTGGGCCACTGCACCCTCATGGGAGACCTGGTTGGAAGCTTCTGGCTCCTGCCTGACCTAACCCAGCCATTGAGGCCATTTAAGGAGTGAACCAGTGGATGGTGTGTGTGTGTGTATATACACACACATATATATGTATACATACACACATATGTATATATATACACACACACACCAAATGGAACATAGGCAAACTTCTCTCCCGATGCTGGGTTATCCTGTAAGTAGCAATCAGGTTTAAAGTCTAGAGGTTCTGTCCATGAGTCCTTCGGTCTTTGATTAACCGTAGGAGACACATACCATATATTACATATATATATAATATATATTAACATATATATGCCTTTCAAATAAGTAAATAATCTTTAAAAAAAAACAAGAAGCAGAAACACCTTAGAAAATTAATAAATTAGATTTGTCTAAGGTTATTCATTTATCAGACTAAATGAATATTGAATATGAGCATTTCATTTTTAAATTTTACGAGAAAAAACAGTAACTGCTTAACACAGTGCTCACTGGCCTATGACTGCAGCTAACCACTGAAAGCCACATTCAGCAGGGCCATTTGCAAACTGGTCCACATTCAAATACATGTAACAACTAAGGCAACGCTTGGCATACAGGATGAACAAAGGACTATTTTTAACAGCAAAACTAGGAGTATCTATTAACTTAATCAGAACTGACAAATTCTGATGATTCACAAAATAATACTATGAAAATGAACTACATGCACCAACAACCAACCTGATTACGTCAACAAGCGGTTAAAGAAACTAGAGATACTTAACAAGATACTTAACATGACTGTATGATCTCCCTGCCCCCACTGAAGTTCTAGAACCTCAGCTTCGCGTTATTTGGAAACAGGATCTTGTATACATAATTAAGATGAGGTCATACAGTTGGGGCGGGCCCTCAATCCAGTGACTTACGGGATCCTTACAAGAAGGCCATGTAAGATCGAGACACTGACAAGGAAGAAAGCCTGATGCAAACAAGCAGTGATTAAAGTGATGCAACTGCAAGCCAAGGACTGAAGAGGCAAGGAAGGACTCTCCCCGGAGCCTTCTAGGCAGGGATGGCTCTGCCTCCTGGAGGCGATGGTAATCAGTTACAGACGAAAAAGGACTGAGGAGACACTGGATCTGCATTCAAGTATGTCATAGATACACTATCTCTGTGGAGGCCAGGATTAGAAACATCTATAAATCAGATATTACAAGGAAATGGATTTCCGCTTTAAAGGTAACTGCACATCCCATTATCTGACAAGTTCAAGTGGAAGTGCGTTACCAATGTAGGAGTGCCCATTTAGTACAGTGATTAAGACACCTTGGGATGCCTACATCTCACACTGGAGTGCCTGGGTTCGAGTCCCAGCTCTACTTCCAAGTCCAGCTTCCTGCTAATGTGCACCCTGGGAGACAGAAGGTGACACATTAAGTAGCTAAGTCTCTGTCACCCACAAGATAGGCTCAACTTGAATTCCCAGGTTCCGGCTTTGGCAGGCCCAGCCCCAGCTCATGGGAGCACTTGGAGAGTGCATGGAAGACCTCTGTCTCTCTGCCTTTCAAATAAAAGATTCTTCTCTAGGGACAGATTCTGAGCCACGAAGTAATGCCCCTTTCAACCATTAGCAATCTAATTCTATGTTATGTTACATAACACATTATTAAATGTATTAAGTGAAGATCTGAAGTTACCAAAGACCTTTATACTTTCCTTGATAGCTGGAAAAAGTATGACCAATGACAAAAGTCAAGTGACACTTACATGATATCTTCGGAAGAGAAGAAGTTACAAAATACAGTTTCATCTGTTGAGTACCAACAGGTAGAAACATCATAGGAGGAGCAAGAGCCTATTAGAATCTTAATGGAAATGAACATATTCGCAAACCTACCTACAACCTGCCCACATTACATCACTGAATATTCAGAGAGCCAAGGTGTTGACCAACCATCCGATCATGAGGGCTGCCTTTGTTTTGCTCTTCTATTTGACAGATAATAGCCACACGGTTTTCTGGGGCACAGTGTGGTGTTTGGGTACCTTTGTGCACCGCACATCAATCAATTCAGGATACTTAGTTAGCCATCAGGTACTTCGTTCTGACGAGTACTTACACCACACAGCACTGTTAACTATCATCACCCGGAGTAAGGGAACACCAACACGGAGTCCCCTTCTCTGCGTGGGACTTTGTATCCATTGCCTTTGCTTTGCTTTTTGGAAATGCTGGTACTCTGGTGTTACGTTTCGCCTGAAATAATTCCTGGAATGGTATGCTAACCCCAACGGTTCACTGAGACAGAACTCACAAAGAGCTTTAAATGCTACTACAAGGGGAAACAAGGGTAGATAGGTTAGCGGAAATAACAAAGCACTGTATAGGATCCACAGAACAATTCCCACTAGTACAAAAAAAAAAAAAAAAAATCCGTTTTCCAACTGAAAAAATTCTACATATCAGCAAGAATGTCCCTATGAGGAAAGGGGAAGATGTCGGTAAAATGTTCACTTGGATTCTTCCAACCAGGACAAACTATTATGAGGGCAAATATTTCCAATCTACAATGCAGTCATCTTACCAGCTCCAAATGGAACATAGGCGAACTTCTCTCCCGATGCTGGGTTATCCTGTAAGTAGCGATCAGGTTTAAAGTCCAGACGTTCTGTCCATGAGTCCTTCAGTCTTTGATTAACCGTAGGAGACACACACACTTGATGTCCTGGCGGAATGGTGTACCCTGCCACAGTCTACAGAAGAAAGCACCACACCACGAGAATTTTAAAATGCGCCAGGCAACCAGGTCGTTAGGTAAGCAAGCACTAATCTAATACACATGACATGTATTTTAAAACTGGCTGGATCGTGAGTTAGCGAACATTGTTTTCACTCCAGCTCTGGGACACAGATGCACGAGGCAAACTCGGGCTGCAGAGGTAAGGGTGCGGTTCAGGGAGCCTTTCCCTATCCCACGTACACACTGCACAAGGTCAGAAGGCGTAACAAGGAAACATGTTCTCTAGAACTGAGAGAAAAATACAACCCCAACTGTTAAATGAAAATGCAGAGCATAATTAGAATTTGCGATCAGCATTCAAATTGTCTGCAATTAGGTAAAAATGTTCTGAAGTTGAAAATTATGTAGAAACATTCTACATTTTTAATTTTAAAAATGCTCTTTGATGCTACGACATACAGTAATTTATTATGTTCAAATGAAAACCGGGAGGAGGAGGAGGAGGCGCTCACCTGGGGGGTCCTGGCCATCCTCATCATGGTCATGATCGGGGGCCGCAGTCTCAGCGTTTCCCTTATGCAGCGGTCGAGTAAATTCAGGTCCTTGAGCTACAAAGAGAAAACCATTTCTCGGTTTTTGTAAAGATGTAACACACACCAACAGCATAAAATGTTGTCCGCTGTGGTCAGTCCGGGGCCCTGCATCCCAGGGCGGAGTGCAGCGTGGCTGGGATCCCATCGCTGCCACCACCACAGGGCCTCCTGCTCGGGTGGATCCCGAGTCACCCAGACACGGCACGCAGGCACTCCCCCACGCCTCCTAGGACACAGCACACAGGCACTCCCCCACGCCTCCTAGGACACGGCACGCAGGCACTCCCCCACGCCTCCTAGGACACGGCACGCAGGCACTCCTCCACGCCTCCTAGGACACGGCACGCAGGCACTCCTCCACGCCTCCTAGGACACGGCACGCAGGCACTCCCCCACGCCTCCTAGGACACGGCACGCAGGCACTCCTCCACGCCTCCTAGGACACGGCACGCAGGCACTCCCCCACGCCTCCTAGGACACGGCACGCAGGCACTCCCCCACGCCTCCTAGGACACGGCACGCAGGTACTCCCTCCGTGTGCGGAAGCCAGACTTTGAGCAGAGGAACACCCTGATGGTCTCCAGACAGACCCTAGACAGCTCTGGCAAGGAGCAACCCAGCTAGCATGTTTCAGGTAAGGTTATGGGGGAATTTTCCGAAAACAGAGAACTCAGCAACTGAAGCTCAAGTACAGAGAAAACCCCAAGCTGTCCCTTTGGAAAACCGGCTCAGAGACAGCAGCAGCAGCAGCGAATTGAGGAGCCCAGCACACCTGGTCGTAATTGAGGGGCGGCAGGTGGTCTCCGCAGACTGCTTTCTGCTCCGAGTAGCACCTTTCTTGAAGCTGCTTGTCCCTGGCCAGAAAGAAGCCCAGCCAGGCGCTGGTGGTGGAGGAGGTGTGCTGGCCGGCCAGCAGCAGCCCGATGAGCATCCCCGCGATCTCGTCGTCCGTCAGAGGGCGCCCGTCCCTGCGGAACAAACCCCACGCCCTGCTCAGGCCGCGGCCTCGGGGCTGGGAGCTGCACGGTCAGGGTCTCTTGCCTTTGTCCCTCAGCCATCAGAGACCCCCCGCACAGGCAAGGACGGACCAAGAAAAGTGGGGTTTTGTTACGAAGAGCTCACCGTAGTTATGGCAAACGTTCCCAACGCCCAGCCCCTGGGACTCCCCAGCTTCGGCCTCAACAACTTAGAAAGTCCAAAGTCACAGCTACCAAACTGCTCTTGCTGGTGTCCTCACTTTTTAACTGAAAATACTAACTATGATTTAACATGCACTTTCCTGCTTTAGCTTAATATGTGATTGGAGCAGCTCTTACTTGTATGTAGAATCCAGCAAAGTTTGGAGAATGTCTTCAAGTTTTTCTTTGGACTGTCTGCGTTTCTGGATTGCCTTATAGAAAATATTCTTGATCTCTCGGTGAGCTCTGTCTCTGCGCCTGTAATTCAACGATGAAAATTATTTTTTAACATAAAACACTTTCAAGGGTAAATCCATTTTGAAAACTAGGACCTTGGGCTGCCACTGTGGGTTAAGCCACCACCTGCAGCGCCAGTGCCAGCATCCCATATGGATGGCTGGTTCGAGTCTTAGCTGCTCCACTTTCAATCTAGCTCCCTGCTAATAGCCCGAGAAAGCAGTGGAAGATGGTCCAAGTTCATGGGCCCCTGCACCCACGTAGGAAACCTGGATGAAGCTCCTGGCTCCTGGCTTCGGATTGGACCAGCCCTGGCCTTTGCAGCCATTTAGGGAGTGGAATAGCAGAGGGAAGGCCTCTCTGTCTCTCCCTCGCTATATAACTCTGCCTTTCCAATAAATAAAATACATCTTTAAAAAGAAAGAAAACCAGGACCTAGCTAAAACAACCTTACTTAACTAATATTAAAGATGAAGTCAGAAGCAGCTTGCACTGTGGGGCATCTCTGTGGCCCTGAGGGTCCGGAACTGCACGTAACACACACCCGAGATTCCCTCACACCCCTCTGCCCTGCTGCGGCCTAGGGATCACGCAGCACCTGGAGAAGCATCCTCCAGTCCAAGAGAAAGCGGAACTCTCAAACCAACATCAGACCTCAAGTGGAACCAGACCCTGAAGCTGGAGGGCCACCCCGGTTCTTCCACAGATGCAATTCTACTTTCATTTTCTAAGACCACAGTTTTTCAGGGTGCCCAAGTACTAGTAGAGTCAGGAAACAAGCTTCAGTTCCCAACCCTCTACCTATACGTCCCGGGCAAGTACTGGGAGCCTCCATCTGCAGGCAGCTGCGCAAGATCACACAGCAGTGGGCAACGGCGCTGCACCTCCCACCAGGCGGCCTAGGAAACCACACCTCCTAACTCCACTTGCGGGACTCATGCTGCCAGACTGTGGGAAGGCAGCAGGAGATGGCCCAAGGACTTGAGCCCCTGCCACCCATGTGGAAGACCCGGATGAAGCTCCAGGCTTCAGCCTGGGCCAAGCTATTGCAGCCATCTGGGGAGTGAACCAGCAGATGGAAGATCTGTCTCTGTAATGCAGAGTTACAGAGGGAGGGAGAGACAAACACAATAAATAAATCTTTTTAAAAAAATTTTTTAAGTTGTTAAAAATGTTTAAATAAATAAAAGAAAGGCAGGGCCAGTGCTGTGGCATAGGGAGTAAAGCCACCGCCTGCAATGCCAGCATCCCATATAGGTGCTGGTTCAAGCCCTGGCTGCCGCACTTCCGATCCAGATCTCTACTATGGCCTAGGGAAGCAGATGACCCAAGTCCTTGCGCCCCTGCACCCACATGGGAGACCGAGAAGAAGCTCCTGGCTTCTGGCTTCGGATTGGCTCAGCTCTGGCCATAGCAGCCACTTGGGAAGTGAACCAGCAGATGGAAGACCTCTCTTTCTCCCTCCATCCCTCTCTGCCTCTGCCTCTAACTCTGCCTTTCAAATAATAATTTTTAAAAAGGCACAAATATTCAAAAGAAAGCAATTTCACATATGAGAGGGGATTAAAACTTGCAGGTAAAGGATGGGACAAATTTCCCATGAACTTTCTGAAGCCACTTAGTATATATACTACAAAACTACCCAAGACTTTCAAACAAGTGCTCACAAGAGCCCAGTATTACTTTGAACATATTCAGACTTCCCTGCTTACAAGGAATGTCAGGTAAGCAAGCTTTAAAATACTAGGGTAATTGGCTTTTTTGTAAACTGAAACTTAACTTTAAATGAACTCACCATATAAACAAACACTGTCTTGAGCTTTTATAGAACCTGGATCAACACTCTTTCCCCATTTGTTCTACCTCTTATTTTCATCCTTGTTAAAGGGCTGGTGCTGTGGTACAGATTAAGCTTACCCTGCGGCGCTGACATCCCTTATGGACACTGGTTCAAGTCCTGGCTGCTCCAAGTCCAATCCAACTCCCTGCTAATGGCCTGGGAAAGCAGCGGAACATGACCCAAGTACTTGGGTCCCTGAACCTATGTGGGAGACCAGGATAAAGCTCCAGGCTCCTGGCTTCAGACCAGTCCAGCTCCAGCCATTGTGGCCATCTGGGGAGTGAACTAGTGGATGGAAGACCTCTCCCTGTCTCACCCTCTCTGTAACTCTGTCTCTCAAATAAATAAATCTTAAAAAAAAAAAAACCACACACCTCTGCTAAAGCAAAGCACACTAAGAGTACTGTATGGTTAAACAACCAAGTGTAGGATCTTGATCCATACCTGAAACTGGGCAGAGGCAGCCAGCCCGGCAGGAGCCAGGCAGCATGGCTGAAGCCACCATCCAGATCTGCATACAGCTGTGCCACCTTCTCATTGAGCTGACTTCTGATTTCCCTTCCATGTAAACAGTGGCTCGCGGTTAAAATTATGAGCTCAGAAAGTGCTTCAAACACATCTAGAGGAAGAAACAAGGCTTTCTCATTATGATTTCCAGTCCTGTGAAATAGCGTTTTCTGAAGATAAAAAGGTACTATGAAGGAAAATTGAGAACAAGAAAAACTCCAAAAAAAATTCCATTCATATCATCAGAAAAAGCTGAAAGGCATGTGATCAAACGACAGGCACTAGCCCACCCCCAAAACAGACGCCACGAAGGCATCTCTAACCCACAATCGTGAGCTTGTCTCCACCTTTAAAAACAAACAGGGTACTCTGATGGCCAGGGTACAGTCCAACAAAAGCAGCAAAAAGGCTGCTTAATGTATATGAGGGGCCAGCGCCGCGGCTCACTAAGCTAATCCTCCGCCTAGCGGCGCCGGCACACCAGGTTCTAGTCCCGGTCGGGGCACCGGATTCTGTCCTGGTTGCCCCTCTTCCAGGCCAGCTCTCTGCTGTGGCCAGGGAGTGCAGTGGAGGATGGCCCAAGTGCTTGGGCCCTGCACCCCATGGGAGACCAGGAAAAGCACCTGGCTCCTGCCATCGGATCAGCGCGGTGCGCCGGCCGCAGCACACCGGCCGCAGCACGCCGGCCGCAGCGGCCATTGGAGGGTGAACCAACGGCAAAAGGAAGACCTTTCTCTCTCTCTCTCTCACTGTCCACTCTGCCTGTCAAAAAAAAAAAAAATGTATATGAGGGCAACATGCACAGATTCTGGTCCTAAGACTGAAGACCAGATCAGTTCCCAGGTCAAAGGAGGAAAATCTGGACTAAAAATTGAAGTGTTGGCCAAATATAAAAGAAAACTAATCACCACCTGGTACATGCCAATGCTGGGCACAGAGGCAACAGGCAAGCACACTTTGATGACACTCTGAAGAACTAAACACAGATTTCCAACTGATTTGTTCTTTAATTCCATGTTCACCAAGTAAATCTTGAGATGCCATCTGGCTGTCCAACCAGATTTGCCCTTAAAGCGAAGATCAGCAAATATTCTGGTCTTCTTGGTGCTATTATACTCGTGACTCACGTGTGTTGACTAAGTTGTCATTCCAACTCGCACATCAGCTTCTTGTATAGTTAGAAAGTAATTACATCACCTTCAGGTGCATTAAAAATAAAAGCAAATTTCTGGACCTTTTAGAGAAGCTAAAGACCAAACCCAGACAGTGAGTGACCTATGGCCTGGGGTCCCACTGCCTGTGTGCGGGGGCTTCCTGTCAGAGGCCCGGCCACCACCTCAGCAGGCCACACTTGCTGCAGTCCCAGCACCAAGACAAAAACCCTACTCAGAGTTCAAAGCCATGGTAACCACGGCAGGCCTAGCATTGAACTTAAGCCAGCTCTGCACACACTATAGTTTGCTGCATTTATACACAAACGCATATTCACAGAAAAAAGGCAGTATCAAGACAAATGTAAAACATGGTGCTTACTTTTTTCTCCACTTTCTCCCCAACTTTTAAAGTATTCCTTTGTTTCTTTTTCAATGATAGAAACGTACTGCCTGAAATGGGCTATGTTAAGGCCGCTTTTTAACATTTTCTTCTGTTCCAAGAAAACCTTCAAAGAAGATTAACAGTAAATCATATTAAAACACATTTTTGTTTTATCCTGACCCATGTAGGTTATCATAACCATGTTAACACTCCAAGAAAACATTCGGGAAAACTGAAAAATAGTAAAAGGATTTTTTAACAAATAACACCAGAATGCAGAACTTAGAGCACAGAGCCATTCTGAAGTAGCAGTGCGGAAAGAAGGCGCCTGCTGTGGCGTAGCAGGTAAAGCCTCTGCCTGCAGTGTTGGCATCCCATATGGGCGCCGGTTCAAGTCCTGGCAGCTCCACTTCCAATCCAGCTCTCTGCTATGGCCTGGGAAAGGAGCAGGAAAGCAGTAGAAGATGGCCCAAATCCTTGGGCCCCTGCACCCACGTAGGAGACCCGGAAGAATCTCCTGGCTGCGGATCAGTGCAGCTCCGGCCGTTGCAGCCATTTGGGGAGTGAACCAGCAGATGGAAGACCTCTCTCTCTCTCTGCCTCTCCGTAACTGTGCCTTTCAAATAAATAAATAAATCCTTAAAAAAATAAGTAAATATTTAAAAAGAGAAGATGCCTGCTACCCGGAGTCCAGGCAATCAGTGTGACCAGTTGGGAAGGTCACCCCTGCCTCCCCCACCGTTACCTTTTCCCACTGCAGATTTCCTTGCCCTATTCCAACTGGACCCAGAAGCCAACAGGAGACAAAGGCCCACTGCACTTCTATTTTTTTTTTTTTTAAAGAGTTTATTTATTTAAGAGGTAGAGTTACAGACTGAGAGGGAGAGAGAGAAAGGTCTTCCTTCCACTGGTTCACTCCCCAGATGGCCGCAACAGCCAAAGCTGCGCCGAACCGAAGCCAGGAGCCAGGTGCTTCCTCCTGGTCTCCTGTGTGGGTGCAGGGGCCCAAGGACTTGGGCCATCTTCTACTGCTTCCCCAGGCCACAGCAGAGAGCTGGATTGGAAGTAGAGCAGCCAGGACTAGAACCAACACCCATGTGGGATGCTGGTGCTGCAGGTGGAGGATTAACCTACTGCGCCATGGCGCCAGCCCAGCCCACTGCACTTCTAAAATAAATTTACACCAAGACAGCTAAGGGTTTTGAACCTTTGAGGCATTTCTATTTAAGTTTAATAAGCTATGTTTAAAAAAAATTTGAGCAGAGAGATTTTTCTATGACTCTTGCTTTTGTACTTGAGGAAACCCACTGGTTCCCAGAAACATGTATTTACTGTTAACTCCTAACTACTGTATTAGGGCATGGGCTGTGTGGGTCGTATTCCCAGCCAGAGCCCCCATCAAGGAGCTCGGCTAAATACCTGACTTGTATTCTCCATCAACTTAAAACATTTTAGCATTTCACTCTGGCGAAGCTGAGGGGGAAACAACACAAACGAACCACACCCCTGACATCTCCCCATTAAATCAGGACTAATGAAGTCACCATCTCTAAATCAGACAGCTTTTAAAAGATTTATTTATTTATTTGAAAGTCTGAGTTACAGAGACAGAGAAGAGGCAGAGAGAGAGATCTTCTCTCCGGTGACTCACTCCCCAATTGGCTGCAATGGCTGGAGCTACGCCAATCCAAAGCCAGGAGCCAGGAGTTTCTTCCAGTCTCTCACGTGGGTGCAGGAGCCCAAGGCCTTGGGCCATCTTCCACTGCTTTCCCAGGCCATAGCAGAGAGCTGGATGGCAGTGGAGCAGCCGGATCTCAAACCGGAGCCCATATGGGATGCTGGAGCTTCAGGCCAGGATGTTAACCCACTACGCCACAGCGCCGGCCCCAATCAGACAGCTCTTAAGCTCTTCAGGTAGGGGCAGGCAGGTGGAAAGCCCTTCTGATGAAATAATGGGATTTTCCTGTTACCCTCTCAAATCAAATCCAAACTTGCTAAGTTATCACTGACTCCATGTCTTTGCTTAGCCCACAGCAGCAACTAGAAACAGAACACCCATTCCTTACAGTTAATGTCTCATGATTCTTCAGAGTTTTCAGCCAGGTAATAAACCATTTCTACACTTTAAATGCATACTGTGACACTACTAGCTGTACCTATTACAGACCCATCTTCAAGGTAACAGAGTCAGGGCCAGCGCTGTGGCATAGTGGGTAAAGCTGCCACCTGCGATACTGGCATCCCATGTGGGCACCGGTTCCGGTGCCAGATGTTCCACTTCCAATCCAGTTCCCAGCCAATGCGCCTGGGAAAGCAGCAGAGGGTGCTCCGAGTGCTTGGGACTCTGCACCCATGTGGGAGACCCAGAAGAGGCTCCAAGCTCCTGGCTTCGGCCTGGCCCAGCCCCAAGCCATTACAGCCATCTAGGGAGTGAACCAGCAGATGGAAGCATTCGCGCGCGCGCTCTCAAGCTCTCTTTCACCCTCTCCCTCTCTCTTCCTGTCTTAAATAGCTCTGCGTTTCAAAAAAAAAAAAAAGTCACAAGGTCACCTACTGCGTTAGGCACATCATATGCGACTCCCTTCCCAAACACCGGTGTGGTCAGCCGGCTGTAGATATCTTCTGCATTCAGGTCTTCATTCTTGCTGTTAAAAAGCAGTGCAGCAGCATCACTGCCCAGGAGGTAAGTAAACGTCTTGCCCACCATGGTAAAGCTAAACACGGGTCCATACTAAAAGAGAGAGAAATACCCAGTGATGTCAGCAAAGGGTACACGGCACTAGGACCGACTTCTGAGATCACAAAACACCATTGACAAATTCAAACATTCATACATGATGAAGCAATTCCTTTCACCTTGCCATACTTCTCCTCTTGTCTCTGTCTAGATTTATACAACTTTCCTTTTTTTAAGATTTATTAGGCCAGCGCCGCGGCTCACTAGGCTAATCCTCTGCCTGCGGCACTGGCACACCGGGGTTCTAGTCCCAGTTGGGGCGCTGAATTCTGTCCCGGTTGCCCCTCTTCCAGGCCAGCTCTATGCTGTGGCCCGGGAGTGCAGTGGAGGATGGCCCAAGTGCTTGGGCCCTGCACCCCATGGGAGACCAGGAGGAAGCACCTGGCTCCTGCCTTCGGATCTGCGTAGTGCAGCGGCCGCAGTGGCCATTGGAGGGTGAACCAACTGTAAAGGAAGACCCTTCTCTGTCTCTACCTCTCTCACTGTCCACTCTGCTTATCAAAAAAAAAAAAGAGGGCCGGCGCCGCGGCTCAATAGGCTAATCCTCCACCTAGCGGCGCCGGCACACCGGGTTCTAGTCCCGGTCGGGGCGCCGGATTTGTCCCGGTTGCCCCTCTTCCAGGCCAGCCCTCTGCTGTGGCCAGGGAGTGCAGTGGAGGATGGCCCAAGTACTTGGGCCCTGCACCCCATGGGAGACCAGGAAAAGCACCTGGCTCCTGGCTCCTGCCATCGGATCAGCGCGGTGCGCCGGCCGCAGCGCGCCGGCCGCGGCGGCCATTGGAGGGTGAACCAACGGCAAAGGAAGACCTTTCTCTCTGTCTCTCTCTCTCACTGTCCACTCTGCCTATCAAAAAAAAAAAAAAAAAAAAAAAAAAAGAATTATTTTATTTGAAAGGCAGAGTGAAAGAGGGAGAGTGAAGAGGGGGGAGAAGGAAGAGAGAGAACCTTCCATTTGCTGGTTTACCCCAGAAATGGCCAGCAACAACAGTTGTGGCTGGGCCAGGCAGAAGCCAAAAGCCAGAGCTCCAACCAGGTCTCCCATATGGGTGGTGGGGTCCCAGGTACTTAAGCCATCTCCTGCTGCTTTCCCAGGTGCACTAGCAGGGAGCTGGATGGGAAGCAGAACTAGGGACACAAACCAGCACTCAGAAATGGGATGTTCGTGTCGCAAACTGTGGTTAACCCACTGCACCACAATGCTGGCCCCAGAGATTTTCATTCTGCTCTTTTCCCTTTATCTTGAAAATGCTTCTCTGCCATTTAAACATTCAGTAACTAAGGTTTTCTATCATGTACATCACAATGTTAACTAACTGCTCTTTCACTATTGGACATATGAATGGCATGTTAGAATTTTTTTTTCACTTATAGATAATTCCGCAATGAACATCTCTGATAGCATAGTGTTTTCCCCCTCTGGTTAAAAATAAGGTAGCCAAAGGATGCAATGTTTCCTAAAGTACTTGCTATGTGAAGATACTAAAAGTTTATATATCTATCAGTTTTAGGACTATCTCACCAACACTGAAGACTGTTGTTAATTGGATTAGGTGTTAAATGGTTTAGCCTGCAGCTTTTTTATTATTAAAGAGTAGGTTCTGGGATACAATCATGAACAAAAATACTGTCTTGGACTCATAGTTCTTAGTCTATTGGAAAAGATACAAATTAATAGGACAAATATAAAATTCCAAATGTGACAATTATCACACAAAGGAAAGCAACTCTGTGATGAGTCTAAAAAATCGAGACCTACAGGAAGACAGCTGAGCGGACCCTGCGGGATGGTCACCAAGTGTACACTAAGGTCCTCAAGGTGGGAGGAAGAGGGCAAGGAAGAGCTGAGGGCCAGGCCTGCCCCACACAGAGCCTCCTATGCCACCTTGCAAACAATGGGAACTCATGAAGGCGGCTGACCTATGCGGGAGCCTACAAAGTCTCAGTGAGACGGTGGCGCTAGAAGCAGATTCAGCTCTTTTGGAGTTGGAATCCGCAGACTTGACAGGGGACTGGTGGGAAAGGGAGGTGAGCAGGAAGGAATCCCACGCTTCCGGTACAGTGCAACTGCAAAACAGGGAGAGCAGGGCGGGCAGGAGGACCGTGGCTGGACGCTAGAAATGTGGAATTTCACATGTGCTTGAGACAACGAAGAGCAAAAACCGTGGGGGACTGGATTACCGAAGGAGGTTAGACAAGAGAGACCTGGGTAGAGACGGTAACTTGGGTGTTCCTGCGGCTGCGAGCACAGCTGAGATTACTGAGAACAAAGGCCAAAAGGACCAAAACCAGGAGAATCCAACACCTCTGAGCATGCTTGACTGCTGCCTTCCTTTTACTGACCCACCTTTTATTGACTTACCCCAAGCATCTGCCTTCCGCTGAATCAGAAAAGAAGCAAAGAGGTAGGAGAAAAACACAACATAAGCCACATCTGAGGAGCACATGGTCATCAGCAAAGAACACAACTGAGAACACAGCCAAGTTCAAAGGATCAGTGGCATGAGCTCACTGGTACAGGCACTAGAAAACAGACTAGAGTGGGTTAAAAAGTAAACAGGAATTGCAGAAACAGAATACACACAACTTGTGGCAGTGGGAAGAGCAGGAGAGGAAACGAGGTGCTTAGGAGCAGCTTTGGCCTTAAATAGGCAGCACAAGAATTTTTTAGAGAAAGATCCAGTTAAGAGAAATCAACTGTACAGGGGCCAGCACTGTGCTGGAGCAGGTAAAGCCGCTGCCTGCATTGCCAGCATCCCATATGGGCATGGGTTCAAGTTCCAGCTGCTCTACTTCTGATCCAGCTCCCTGCTATGGCCTGGGAAAGCAACAGAGGATGGTCCAAGTCCTTGGGCCTCTGCACCCACGTGGGAGACCCAGAAGAAGCTCCTGGCTTCGGATCAGCACAGCTCCAGCCATTGTAGCCATATGAACCAGCGGATAGAAAACCTCTCTGCCTCTCCTCCTCTCTCTGTGTAACTTTTTTAAATAGATAAATCTTTTTTTAAAAAATCAACTGTACACTGAGAGAAGAAATAATGGGTTCCTTGGACAAAAGAGAGGGATGGAGAATTCAGCAAAGCGCAGTGTAATAAAATCAAGGCGGTGGGACACAGTGGGCTAGAGCACAAGCTCCTGGAGCTAGCGCAGCCGCGGCAGTCAGCGAAGCCCCTGCCTGTGCTGCCAGCATCCCTCGTGGGTGCCAGATCAATGCCTGGATGCCTCCTCTGCTGAGCCAGCTCCCTGCTAACGCACCTGGGAAGGCAGTGGAAGATGGCCCAGCGCTTGGGCCCCTGCCCCCACATCAGAGACCCCGAAGAAGCTCCTGGCTCCTGCCTTCAGCTCAGCCAAGACCTGGCAGTTGCGGCCATTTGGGGAGTGATCCAGCAGATGGAAGACCTTTCTCTCTGGCTGTAACTTTGCCTCTAAGTAACTAAAATCTTAAAAAAAAAAAAAAATCCCAGCTCCTCCACCTATTAGCTTGTTCTACAGTCAGAGAATTTAAGATACCTGCATTTGTTTCCCTCATCTAGAAACTGGTAGGTATCTAATTCAGAGAGCTGCTATCAAGGTTAAAAAAATTATATCAGGGCCAGCGCCGTGGCTCACTTGGCTAATCCTCCACCTGCGGCGCTGGCACTCTAGTTTCTAGTCCCAGTTGGGGCGCCAGATTCTGTCCCAGTTGCTCCTCTTCCAATCCAGCTCTCTGCTGTGGCCTGGGAAGGCAGCAGAGGACGGCCCAAGTGCTCGGGTCCTGCACCTGCATGGGAAACCAGGAAGAAGCGCCTGGCTCCTGGCTTCGGATCGGCGCAGCACCAGCCGTAGCAGCCATTTGGGGGGTGAACCAACGGAAGGAAGACCTTTCTGTCTGTCTCTCTCACTGTCTAACTCTGCCTGTCAAAAAAAAAAAAAAAAAAAATTTATATCTACAGGGCAAAGGAAAGTGCCTGGCCACAGTGAGAGAGACTTGTTTTCTATTATCACCATCATTAACACTAAAAGCATTGGCTCAGAAATCAGACCACATGTAAACCCCGATTCGGTCACTGGCTAGTAGTGAGTCCAAGCAGAATTACACAAGCTCTCTATTGCTCAGTTTTGTCATCCACAAGGAGGATATACTTGAAGGGATTTTTCTGGAGCTTTAGGGAGCTAATCTATATAAAGCACTAAGTACCAACAAAATGTATTTTATAATTACTGTGGTAGGAAGAAAAGAGAATTTGTAGATACAAGTTTTCGTGTTTGAAATTGAGAACATGAGTTTCCTCTGGGTGGTTTTAATCACTCTTTACAAAAGAGAGCCATCTGCTTCAAAGGAAAGGTAGAATATTCAGAAGTTTAGAAAAATAAAAGTTTGCATTAGTCATTGTAGTGAAAGAGAAAGTCAGTCAATCGCAGTAACAACAGAATTATTGAGCAATGTTCAAACTTCACTCAAGGTATGTAATCATGAAATTAGGAAGGCGCTAATTGGATACAGGAAGGAGAAAATGACCAACTGGCTCCTTCCAAGGTTAGAGGTTTGCCAGGTGATCACAACCAACAATTCAGGAGCAAAGCAACTTAGACTATGGACCCAAAGTGGAAAAGGAAGGCAGTGGGGAAAGAAGGCTGACAGGTCAGGAGTTAATGGGACAATGGACTGGGAGATCTGATCCGATGAAATAGTGAGTAGTCAAAGGAGTTGCACAAGCAAGCCTATGAAGATGTTGTCTAAGAACAGGTGTCTAAATCAATAGTGTGGGGGCAGGTGTTTAATCTAGCAGTCAAGACACTTGTTAGAATGCCTGCGTCCCACATCAGAGTGCCTCGGTTTCATATCTACCTCCAGCTCCTGACTCCAGCTTCCTGCTAATGCAGACCCCGGGGGACAGCAATGAGGGCTCAAGTTGTGGTCCTGCCATGTGGGAGACGTGGATTGAGTTCCCAGCTGGAGCTTGCAGGCATTTGGGGAGTGAACCAGTACATGGGAGCTCTCTTTCTCTCTGCCTCCCTCTCTCCCTCCCTCTCTAATAAACCTTAAAATTGTTTAATAAATTAACATTTTAGAGGTGAAGCAGTCAAGAACGACAGATGCAAAGTAGGACTGTGGAGTCAATGGCTGAATTAACACCAGAGCTCATCAGAGAGGAAGGCAGAGATACTCCAGCGGCCAGGGTCACCATGTGGGTCCTCCAAGTTGACAGCGAAGTCACAGATGTACCGAGCAGGTTGGGAAAGTCCAGATATTCGTGACTAAGGAAAATGAGGGTCTCGTCTAACCAGTTAACTACACTCAGCGAATACACAACTTAGAACAGTGGTTTTACACCACAGGCACCAGCACTAAAGCTTTCCGCAGCGGTGGATCACAGATCACCCAGGACAAAGGCGAAGTCAACAGGGTAGGGTTCCCTCTCTCTCTAACACAGCAGCTTCGATCTTCATTTTTCTACACTAGCGACAAGCCCGAGGTCAAAATTTTAAAGAATCGTCTGCCATTTAGAAGAAAAGTTTCACAGGCACCTCTCTGCTTTCTTCTCCTCCATTTTGAATACTCACCTTTTCATATGCATTTTCTAGGAACTCAATTGGACTTTTCCCAAATGCTATGGCATGCCCAAGGAATGGAATCGGAGAGAAAATGTGTGGGGGGTTTTTCTGCAAAAGAAAAAAAATTTTTCAGTTCTCATTTCATTTCAAGAGAAACCCAGCTTCATTTCATGACCTAACAAATAGGATTTGCCATAATACAAAAAAAAAAAAAAAAAAAAAAAAAAACCACTTTACCAGAAAATGAGGCATTAAAAATAACTTTAAAAAAGCCTAGAAATATCTTGGGGAAGTGATTATAGTAAAAAAAAAAAAAAAAAAAGTAGAACAAAAACTCAAAACACTGTGCAAGATAAATGCCTAGACAAACACAAAGTCACAATTTTCAATGATGAACTCTGTCAAGAATATGTCCAATATTGATTGTTGGTACCTCCCGGCAATTTCTGGAACTATTAGTGGCAGAAAAAAAGGAAATTCAAACCATAGTTGTTTCACCACCTATTACCACCAGTCACAGTTTTAGTCCAAAAATCTTGCCTCTTGGTATAGGACGCAACACAACACAAACAGTAGGTTGAGGTAAGGAACGGGAGCTGCTTAAGCCACATTTGTCAGTAAGCGCCTCTTGCTGCAAACGAACCAGGTGCACTAATCTTAAGAGTAGCTCGGTTCTTGCAGGAACCAGGTAGCAACAACCCAAGAGGCTGTGTAGATGCCGCAGAAGGAGCCCCGCAGGTCACACCCAGCAGGTTGGCTCCCGGGAAGCAGCGGGGCCACGATGGAAAAGCGCGCAGGTTTCCGGGCTTCAGGGAGGCGCAGCCTCTCACGGCTCCTCGGCTAACACTGCTCGGAATTCTGCAGGGAGGCATCTTGGTCCTGTCCAGAGGCAAACATCGCTCCCCCCAAAAGGCCCTGGGTAGCAACAACAGTAACTCCGCCTCGCGCCGGTTGTAGTTCAAACAGAAGCAGCTTGGTCGACGGTTTGTTCGTTCCATGGTCAGTAACAAAATAGCTGGCGAAAGCTGTGCAGTGCGGAGCATGCCTCAAAAATCATCCGGGAGGCTCAAAGCTAACGAATTTCTAAAAATCCTCAATTTCAAAAACTGGTATTTAACCCCCCCCCCCACCATACTGCAGTCACGCCCACCCTAAGGAAGTTTTTGTAGCACTTAATCCTGACGGAAAGCGCCACGGGGGCCAGTGCCACAGCCCCCAGGGCACCAAACCACACTCGGCACCTGCAAGGGTAACGCCCACCGGGACCCCCGAGATCGCTCCCGACGCCACGATGGCGGCCACACCCGGCCACCTGAGCGCTCGGGACCATCGGCCACCGCCCAGCAGGGCCACCAGAGCCGCGGCCAGCACAGCCACGAAACGAGACCACGAAGGCAGCGAGCACGAGCAGACACACACACACGATCGGGGCGGTCGGCAAGGCCCCCAGCACCGAGGCCAGCAAGGCCACCGCCGTCGCGACGGCCAGGTCCGCCAGCAGCACAACCGTGGCCGCCGCCACCACCCCAGCCTGCAGGACGCCCGGGGGTCGCCGCCACCAGCGCCAGGGTCAGGCGCTCCGCCAGCGAGCCCTAGCGTGGCGGGGACACCGCCAAGCCGGCCCCTCACCCACTGCCTCGGGGACGCCCGGCGTACCGTTCCGGCGGACAGCTGGAGCAGGTGGCCGACGGCGAGGCGGATCAGGTAGACCAGGCTGAGCGTGAAGGCGCAGGCGACGAGCAGCGTGGACAGGAGGCTGCCGCCCGTCACCCGCTCCATGGCCTGGGTCAGCACCGACCCTCCTGCCTGCAGTAAGCCCAGCAACACCATCCCGGCCGCCGGAGGTCCACTCTGAAGGAGACGCTGCAGGCCGAGGTCGCCGCCGCCTCTCCGAGAAGATGGAGAGAGAAGCTGGAAGATGGGCGTCCGGAAGCGGGCCCGGCCCCCAGGTCGGCTGCTAAATCCACTACCGCCCCCACCCCGACCCGCTGCGCGCCACCTCGCGCGTCACAGGTAGGGGCAGGGCCTGCTGCTGGCCACGCCCCTAAAAGGCCTCGGCCACGCCTCTAACGAGGGCCGCCTCACGCCGGCGTCTCCTTGCGCCCGAGAAGGGACCGAGAGCCTCCCGTGGCACACGTGGTATCCGGGCGGCAGAGGGCACAGCGTAACCCTCGACCACCCTTTGGGCATTCGCGGGGCCCCCGAGCCGGTGTGCCTGCGGCGCGGGGCGCCCGGACACGACGCGGGAGCGGCCTGGCGGAGGAATCTCGGCACGAGGGGTGAGGCGGCCAGGGCCTGTGGCGGCGGCGGCTGCAGCGCGCTCTGTGATTGCACGGAGCGCGCCTGAGGTGATGTCGGCCTATGTGGCGTCAGCGGGGCGCGTGGCTCGGGCGCCGCCCCCTGCCCGGGCACGCGGGCCGGCTCCTCGCAGCCTCCTGAGCGTACCTGGTCCCGGGGCCGCCGAGGAGGAGCCCCGAGGAAGCCGTCGGGACGGCAAAGCAGCCTGCCCCTTCCCACCCCGATCAGTATCGGTTTGACAGGCATTCATGTCCGGTCGTAAAGGTAGCAGATACTGGCCGTCGGGCACGGCGGGCTCTGTGGAAACGGCTTCCCGGCGAGCTGTGGGTGTCACCGGGCGTCGTGAGCGCTGTGGGGCCCTTTCTCCGGGAACGCCGTTTGATTCGCAAGGTTCCTGCAGCCGCCGTCGCCGCGGCCGCACTCGCCTCTTAAAGGTTTCAGTAAGCAGCTCCCGCGAGGCGGTTACCAACGTACCGCGCCTTGCAGGTCGCCTGACCCGAGTCCATTCAGCGTTAAGCCAGGTTTTGTGCTAAGCCTGGAGATTGAGCGGTGAATTAGACACAACTGCACGGCCCTCGGGGAGCGAGTAGGGATATCCAGTTGCCTGGAGATCTGACATTCATCTGAAGTCAGTGCCGACCTCCTCCCCCCCAGGTAAAGCCCAAGTGGAGGGGCGTCATGGCACGCCCTGTTGCCCTCCTTCTGCATGCAAAACGTCAGTCACCAGATCCGCCCGTATCCTCGTCTTCCAGTTCCCAGGCTAGTCTCATATATCTTCCATATGCTGCTGCTTCCTGAATCACTAAAGCTGGTTTGGGCCGTCATCCCAAGTGTTGGGAATCCCCTAAGGATCAAAATCCCTAAACCCTAAAATCCTGAAAAATCAAAATATCAAAAATGTAATTCTGGAAAAAATCAGTTTAATTTTTTTTGTTAAATATGCATTTTTAGAGGAGTCTTATTTGAGAAACCTAAAAACATGACAGAACACTAAACACAATAAAATAGGCAACAAAATACATATATTTGCAAGCGTGAACACTCAGGTACACTAAAGACAGTCACAAGTTTAAGACAGTATGAGCACAGATGAACCATACTCGTAAAGAAATAGGCCAAAGAGCCAAATGTATAAAGCATACCATTGTGGCTGAAAATTGTGTGCACCTGGCTTTATTAGTCATTTAAATACTGTGACAGACAACCCAAGCCTTCTGATGATATTGATTAGAAACCACTGTGGGTCAGCACTCTGTAATGCAGCCTTGCAAGTAACTGAGATCTTAAGAAATTTTATATCTTACCTCTGTGAAAAGGAAATCTTCACTTACTGAAGAAGTTCCCAACCTTTTTACATACACACACTGCTTATACACAAAGTTGTGTTAATGCACTGAGTCAAATTTTCAAAGAAATTCATAAAACAAGTTAGAACACATTACTCTTTACACAATCTATGCCTCCGGGATTGGAAACAATGCAATGTTGAAATGCATAGAACAATTATATTGTTGGGGGCCCAGTGCCCGTGTGGCACAGTAGGTTAATCCTCCACCTACGGCTCTGGCATCCCATATGGGTGCTGGTTCTAGTCCCAGCTGCTCCTCTTCCAATCCAGCTCCCTGCTATGACCTGGGAAAGCAGTAGAGGATGGCCCCAGTCCTTGGCCTCTGCACCTTCATGGGACACAGGGAAGAAGCACCTGGCTCCTTGCTTTGGATCTGCGCAGTTGTGGCCATTGTGGCCATTTGGGGAGTGAACCATCAGAGAGAAGACCTCTCTCTCTCTCTCTGTCTCTCCCTCTCACTATCTGTAACTCTGCCTCTCAAATAAATAAATAAATAAAATCTTTTAAAGAAAATAAAACAATTATATTGTTAAAAAATAATGCTGACAAAATAATGGGGAAAAATCTAAAACAGAAGAAAAGTCAAACTATGAAAAAGTATATTACAGGGATAGATTGTGGGCAATTACACAGGGCAGTCCATGTGAGCTGGCTAACTTTCATACCATGAGCTGTCATTTGAAATTTTACATCTTGATGAATAGCATTTCGAATTTGGTGAAAACAGTACTGATGATTGAACAGCAACATCATTGCATATCTTCATATCTTATCCTGCACATAGTTACCTTCCAACCAGTCAGTAATTATACTTGCTTCTTCACACAAAGGCAGTTTTATTTTTAAAATTGTAGAACTTTATCAGCTGGAAGGAATGGCAGTGCAGACAAATGACAGTTTTTTTAAAATATCATTTGAGAGGCAGAGAAAGAGAGTTGCCATCTGCTACTTCACTCCCTAAATGCCTGCAAAGATGGGGTTGGGCTAGGCTGGATCCAAAGCTGGGAGCTGAGAATGCAATCCAGGGCTCCCATGTGGGTGGCAGAAGCCCAGTTACTTGAGCCATCACCAGTGTCTCCCATGGTCTGCATTAGCAGGGCTTCAGAAGCTAGAGTCAGATATTGGCTTCTAGTCCTAGCTTTTTGTTTTATTATGAAGTAGTGTTTGATTTTGTCAAATGCCTTGTCTGTGCCCATTGAGACAATTATATGGTTTTTGTCCTTTATTCTGTTAATGTGTCATATTACATTCATTTTTATATGTTGAATCTTGTATTCCTAGGGTAAACCTCACTTGTAATCCTTTTTGTATATTACTGTATTTGGTTTGCTGGTAGATTTCTTCTTTGGCCAATTTCTCATTTGGGAATGTGTTGTTTCATTTCTATATTCTTTAATTTATCAAAGTTCCTTTGTTATCACTTCCAAGTTCACTCTTACTTGGAGACATGCGTCACATGATTTAAACACTTTTCATTGAACGTTTGGTTTGGACATGGTTTGTGCTGCAGAGGTGCGTGTGCCGGAATCCTGGTCCCTAGTGTGGTGTTATTAAGAGGTGGACCTAGTGCAAGGTGATTAGGTCATTGGTGGTGCTTGCAATTTTCTCAGGATCACAGTTCTTGCGAGAATGAGTTATTACAAAGCAAGGCTGCCACCCACGCACTTTGCATGTGCCCATTTCCCATCCCATTTCTCTACCCTGTTGTGACACAGCGAATGATGCTCTCACCAGAAGCCAAACAGATGGGGCCACCTCTATTTTGTACTTTCAGCTTCCAAAGTTGTGAGTTAAATAAACCTCTTTTCTTTATAGTACCCAGCTTCAAGTATTTCAGTAACAGAAAATGGATTAACACAGGTGATCCTGCAGAAGGTTCCACGTGCACAGTGTGTCTGTTAGCGTCTCTCTTGTCGTTTGTTAGTCTTCTCTAGGTATTTAATAGGTCTGCTTGCTCATCGTGCCCTTCAAGTCCTTTTGTTGGTGGTGTTGGTGATTTTTTTTTTTTCTTGACAGGCAGAGTGGACAGTGAGAGAGAGAGAGACAGAAAGGTCTTCCTTTTTGCCGTTGGTTCACCCTCCAATGGCCGCCGCGGCCGGCGTGCTGCGGCCGGCACACCGGCAGGAGCCAGGTGCTTCTCCTGGTCTCCCATGGGGTGCAGGGCCCAAGTACTTGGGCCATCCTTCACTGCACTCCCGGGCCACAGCAGAGAACTGGCCTGGAAGAGGGTCAACCGGGACAGAATCCGGCGCCCCGACCGGGACTAGAACCGGGTGTGCCAGCGCCACAAGGCGGAGGATTAGCCTAGTGAGCCGTGGCGCCAGCCCGGGGCTGGTGATCTTCTAGTTGTTCAATCTGTTATTAAAAATGAGGGACTGAAGTGTAAATCTATGATTATTGAATTGTTGAAGTTGGCCCTTCCAGTCTATCAGTTTTTGTTTCATGTATTTTGGAATTCAGTTGTGGTTGTATGCTTATAGTTTTATGTTCTTAATGGACTAAATTTTTTATCATTACTGCCTCAATACTTACCACAGAATAGTTTCACTTTGCCATCTTCAAATTAACATGCTTGTAGTTTCTCAATTTTAACTCCTTTCTGATACTTTTTTTTAGTTTTATCAGATTCCACTTTGTAAAAGAGGGTGGTAGAAACACAGCCAACAAGTGTCAGCAAAAGGTTATGGTGGTGGCCATGTAGGAGTGGACTAAGGGCACAGTCCTTTTTTAAAAAGCGTGGCAGTAGAAGGCAGGGTAGTTACATTATTTATGTAAACTGATTTCTCCATTTGGGTATTAGCTAGGAAGGTTCAAAACAAAAACAAAAATGTTAATGCAGCAGTGGTCATGAAAGTATTAAAAACAACCTACATGCCAGATTACCAACTCTCTTGACTACTGTATTACTGTAATGATGGAATATTTAAAAACAGAGAATAACCATCAAAATATAATTATGAAAACCCTATAGAAAAGTGGAAAATATGAAATAGAATAAATATGTAACAATATATCCTTTTTTTAAAAAAAGATGTATTTAGGCTGGCACCGCGGCTCACTAGGCTAATCCTCCGCCTTGCTGCGCCGGTACACCAGGTTCTAGTCCCGGTCGGGGCGCCGGATTCTGTCCTGGTTGCCCTTCTTCCAGGCCAGCTCTCTGCTGTGGCCAGGGAGTGCAGTGGAGGATGGCCCAAGTGCTTGGGCCTTGCACCCTGTGGGAGAC